GAAGTATAATTAAAGATCAAGAAAAGCGTGGATTTGTTGAGAAGGTTAATGAGGAAACCGACAGAAGTACAAGAATTCATTACATTCCACATCATGCTGTTAAAAAAGACTCAACAACAACACCAATACGCATAGTTTACGATTGTAGCTGTAGAGAATCACCAGACAAAGCCAGCTTGAATGATTGTCTCATGTCAGTTCCACCACTTATAAATGATTTGACAGGAATTATCACAAGATTCAGACTACACAAGTTCGCAGTAACAACGGATATCGAGAAGGCGTTTTTACAGATCCAATTAGACGAAGAAGACCGAGATGTAACAAGATTTCTTTGGTTGAGCGATTCGAGCGACCCTACTAGTCCACTAATCACCTATCGTTTCCGAGTAGTTCTTTTCGGAACAACTTGTTCTCCATTCATATTGAATGCCACAATCATGAAACATCTGAAAAATAATTTGTCAGATACTGCTAGAGCATTGAAGAGAGACCTGTATGTGGACAACGTTTTGTCGAGCTTTCATAGCGAGGAGAATTTACTATCATTTTATAAAGAATCACGTCAACTTTTATCCAAAGGAGGATTTAATCTTAGGTCTTGGACAACAAACAATAGGAAACTGCGCAATATGGCAGAGTCGGAGGACTGCATGGACAAGGACAAAACTATTAAAATTTTGGGACTTCGATGGAACACTGAAACTGATACGATATCGTTTCAAAACAGCATTAAAATTGATAAGGAGATATATGTTACCAAGAGAGAAATTCTTCAACAGTCGTCAAGGATATTTGACCCGTTAGGAGTATTAAGCCCAATCACCGTCAGAGCTAAGATTTTGATGCAGACTATATGGGAGAGGACATTTGACTGGGATGAGCTCTTACCAGATGATATAAAGAGTAAATGGTACGCTTTATTGGAGGACTTACAACAAGCAGTCACACTTGAAATACCGAGATTTTATTTCACCAATGAATCATCTGCAAATATCAACACCAAGGTAAGGAAACTACATGTATTTACCGATGCTAGTCAAAGTGCATACGGAGCATGCGCCTACATTGTGGCCGGAGATGAATCAACGCTGGTTATGGCGAAAAACAGAGTGGCCCCTTTAAAGCAAATAACATTGCCAAGACTTGAATTAATGGGAGCGTAAACAGGAGCGAGGCTAGCTAATCATTTACTGGAAAATTTAGGAGACATGGAAGTAACATTTTGGTCCGATAGCCAAATTGTTTTATCATGGATTGCGTCGATGAAACCACTGAAGAAATTTATTGCTAACCTGCTAACCGAGTGACTGAAATCAAAGAACTGGTTAAAAATCAGCGATGGAAATATTGTCCAACGGACATGAACCCTGCAGATTTACAAACTAGAGGCACATCTGCAGATAAATTTCTGAACAACGAATTATGGACACAAGGAATGAAGTGGATTATCAACGAAACTGAATGGCCTACTTGGAACGGAAACAAAATGGCATTGCTAACAAATGCTGAATATGACATTGAGCCAAATTTGTCACTACTCACATCAACACAGAATCAGAATGAAGAATCGGGACTTCACCGGATTATTAATTTAGACCAGTTCAGTAGTTTAAGAAGACTTTTGAGAATTACCGCATATATACTAAGATTTATCAAGAATTGTAAACTACAAAAGAATCAAAGGAACACATCAGCCCTTACGGTAGAGGAAATTAACCATTCAACATTATTATGGATCAAGAGCACTCAGGATAATTCATTTCATCACATCAATTCGACTAAAAGTCCGTCAATATTAAAACAGTTGAAACTTTATAAAGACGATCAGAACATTTGGAGATGCGGAGGCAGAATTAACAATGCACCTTTGAGCGAAACCGCTAAATTTCCATATTTGTTGCCAACAAAACATAGTTTCACAACTTTGGTTATAAAAGATGCACATGTGAAACAACTTCACGGAGGAGTAACTAGTACAGTGACTTTATTACGTCAGACATATTGGATTTCGAGAATTCGTCAATGCGTCAATGCAGTATTACGCAAATGTGTCACCTGCCGTAAAGTTATAGGGAAGGCTTATCAGAAACCGGACCCGCCACCACTACCAGTAGATAGAGTTCAAGATACATTTCCATTTACCGTGACAGGCGTAGACTTTGCAGGACCACTTTATGTAAAAGATTCCGACAACTCTAGAGCTAAAGTTTACATCTGTTTATTTACTTGCGCCTCTACTAGAGCCGTACATTTAGAGATCGTTTCAAACTTGACAGAGGAGTCTTTTATTTTAGCCTTCAGAAGATTTGTAAGTCGTAGATCGTTACCAAAAACAATGATTTCAGACAATGCATCAACTTACATAGCCGCCAGTAATGAAATTCAACGGCTAACGAATTCGCAATCTTTATTAGAAAAAATACAAGATCAAGGAACAGAATGGAAATTTATTCCAAAAGGAGCACCTTGGTACGGAGGATTCTGGGAGCGTATGATCGGACTAACCAAAACAACTTTAAAGAAAGTAATAGGGAGTAAATGTATACGCATGGAAACATTACAGACAGTCATCACTGAGATTGAATCTACATTGAACGACCGACCAATCACGTACATGTCATCAGATGTCAACGAACCTGAACCATTGACACCTTCTCATCTTCTTTGTGGCCGGAGAATAAGATGTTTACCGTATCCGTCTACAAACATGAACAATTTGATTAATTTTGAACCAAGTACACATAACAACTTGAATCAACGTCTACAGGATCAGCACAACATTATTCAACATTTTCGACGAAGATGGAAAAATGAATATCTTACATCATTAAGGGAATACCACACGGCTTTAGGACACAATAATCAGACTATCAAAGTTGGTGATGTGGTTCAAATACATGAAGATTCGCCTAGAATTAATTGGAAGCTAGCCATTGTAGATGAACTATTGGTTAGCAAGGATGGACTCGTTAGAGCAGTGAATTTGTGTACAAACAATGGACATACAAATCGTCCAATTTCAAAGTTATACCCGATAGAGGTTTCTTGCGATTTGTTTCAATCAACACTTGACACCAAAGAACGTAAATCGAAGAAGGTCGCCAGGGAAAAGATTCGCCAGTTGATGTCTTAATTTTATACTTATACAGACTTTAATTTTTCAAATGATTTTTATTTTCTACATACATTGACTTTAAGTTAAACTGTGAATATTTGCGATATCTATGTATTTATTAAGAATTTTTATCATTTTCACTTCTCGGCGCCCCCAGTGTCAAGTATTTTGCCGCTATTCTTTCACGGACTGTAACTAACGTTACCTTTGTAACGTCAACACGTTTATTACGTTATTGTAGTCATACAAGCAAGTAGAGTCATTAAAAGCAATTAGAACTGTTCACACGTATTCTATTTACACAAGCGAAGTACTAACCAAATAAACCCAAACACCCCCCTTTCACTTTCACACCCTACACGTTCGCACCCAAAGTCCGTTCGCGCCCAATTTTTATTGGTTTTGTGTTTAATAATTTGTAAACGAGTTTTGGTAAGTGTATTGCTATAAATATATATTTTTTCATTGTTTCTAAATAAAGTGAGATTCTGACAAGGTTTTTTTTGTGTCATGGTAAATGGTAAATGTATTGCTATTAACATTTTTTTTTCATTGTTTTTAAATTAAGTGAGATTCTGACGACCAGTATTTTAGTTTTGTGTTGAATAATTTTTAATCATGTTTAGGTAAGTGTATTGCTCTATATATATCTATATATATATACAAGTCTAAATTGAAAACAACGTTCAAACCTATGATTGCGTTGGATAAAAACCGCAATTTTTATACGTATGCATGTAAAACAAATATATATATATATATATATATAAATTTTTTTTTTTCATTGTTTCTAAATAAAGTGAGATTCTGACAACGTTTTTTTAGGTGTTGATAAAATCTTAATCATGTTTTGGTTAGTGTATTGCTATAAATATTTCTTTTTTATTGTTTCAAAAGGAAATGGGATTCTGACAACGTTTTTTTTTTATATGTTGAATAATTCGTAATCATGTTTTGGATAGTGTATTGCTATAAATATTTTTTTTCATTGTTTATGAATAAAGTGAGATTCTGACACACATGAGATCAAAGGAGCCAAGCTGTTAAAAACACTGATTATCTTTCATGTTTTTTATTTAAAATCTTCAAAGTTTTACTCATACCAAGCTAAATACATGCAGTATTTACATTTAAGCAAGTTAAAACAACCATGACAACAATCATGATTTTTAAACACCCAACAATAACATAATATTAGGCTGTGTATAAATACCAATTAGCAGTAATCATACATAATTAACATTTAATAATTAATCATCAAATCAATTTAAAACAATATTTCATTTAAAAATTCCCGAATTTTTATTTATGAAAATAAAAATATTTTACAAAACATCTAAAAATTTATCAGGTTTTTGAATAAAAAAAGGGTGCGAACGTGTAGGGTGCGAACGGATCTAGGGGGCGAACGTGTGGGGTGGGAACGTGTAGGGTGCGAACGTGTATTGGGCGCGAACGGACCCGATACCCGTGGCCGGGTACTTGTACATCCAAACAACAAAAAGACACTAAGTACAGATCTGAGAGTACTCGCAGTTACTGACAGCTAGTTCAAAGCCACTAACAACTAATAAAAAAAAAATTATTATTAATGCATCCAGGAAATATTGGTTCATTTGTCGTTTGGCTTTGTTTTATTTTTTTGGTTACCTGCTAGTTTAATTTTACTAGTTATATTAAAAATTATGGTCTGTGAAACATATTTGTTTGTATGCCTGGTAAAAATATTAATTGTTCCGTAATAAAATTAAGTAACTTTTGATTTATGAGAAGCCTGGAAAATTATAACTTATGTTGAGGAGTCTTTTGTGATTTGTTCAATTTCTCAAATTTTCAGGTGATTAAAGATTTGTTTTGGGATTATTGTTAAGTTCACTTTTACCATTCATTATTTTACAAGCCAGTTTGTATTTTGATATTTTCCATTTCTTCTTATAGAACTATTGAGTTTTGTTTAATTGTGCCATTCAACCATCGACTTCGCTTGTTGTTGTTTCCTCAACCGGAAGCACTCAAATCCGTCAGATGGCATGGTTTTGATTTGACTGGTTCCAAATTCACTTGTCCCTAAACTCTCCAGGTGTTTATTTAAGGAACAGACATTTCCGTAAACAAACAAAATGGACCTGAAAGGATTGATTGAACCTGACGAGTCTTGGAGACTTGGAAATGCTGATCTTATTCAAGAATTCGCAACCTTACTTTGGGTTGAGAAAGGCGAAGATGATCTAATGAAGAAAGTTACAAGTGCAAGAATCGTGTACGAACTTTATCAACGTCTTACAGGAGAAAATGAGATGGATGCAATGAGAAACGAAACCATAGCTAAGATTGCGAAATGGGTTAAGGAGCATCCAAAGGCCACAAAGGAAGAAGTGACAAAGGAACTTTCAAAACAAATAACACTGTTCGCGAAAAAAGTAGACCAGATGTGAAAATAGGTTACAGATAGAAATACAGGACACCTGGACTTTCCCAAAAAATATGTGTTGTACATGTACCTCAGTGATTATTTATGCTAACATTTTTCTTCATACAAACCTACGAACCATGCCAACAGATTTTGTTAAAAGAATCCAACCAAACAGAGACATAATCTTACATCTTTAGAAATTATTTATGAATATTTTTGTCAATTTTTCATTTATGTTTCACTAATTCATGGAACAGATGAAGATGGACATTTTACTACTATCATTAATTCTGACATAAGCCATCCAGCCAAATATCTTAAGAAGACACACGAGTGACATCTAATTCATGGAACAGATGAAGATGGACATTTTACTACTATCATTAATTCTGACATAAGCCATCCAGCCAAATATCTTAAGAAGACACACGAGTGACATCTAGCTACCTCAATGTACAGAATATGTAACTGAAAAGAACCTTTCATTTTCAAAAAAATAATATACAAATTCAAATATACAAATGTATATAAATGATATACAATGATATATACAAAACAACATTTAGTTTCGAGTTTAACATTATTTTATATGCATGTACATTTACAATGTAATTTTATTTAGTTCTTTTTTCTCATTCATTAAAAACTTCTAATAAATACATGTTATCTAGATCTATAAGTTTGTGTAAGCCTTGTACATGTTGTATGTTTCATCACTGTGATCTAGTAACATGAGTAAGCAGGTAAGATTCTCTTGTCAGACTTCCTTGTATCACGTTTTAATTTCTTTACCCTAATAAGAACATCATATTTTCTGTACGGGTGCAGGTCGTTTCGTAACTAGTCGATCCGTAACTTACTAGGTCGTTTGGTACCTGAGACCTTTTGTAACCTTATATCAATATATAATATCAATATAATATATAATAACAATATGAGTAGTAGGTTACGTAAAAGACTTATTGATGTTCTGCTCTGTTCTGGTATATTCCTCCGTTTTATCGGAGCACTCCACTTATCGAATGAGTATTAAAATTTCAAATACTTAACCGAAAAAGCGGATATTTTTATATTTACGATATGAAAAATATAATTTAAAAATAAAATTAGTTAGTTAAGGTGAATAAAATAAAACTTTAAAATGTCTTTGATGATATATTAAAAGATATTAATAAAAATATATTATGCACACATCACAAATTACGGCACTTTGATTCACCAATATGAATAAATAAAAAAAAAAAAAAAACACCTAATGATTTCTAGTCGGTAGGTGCCCTGCCAAGGAAAATGTTAAAATTATATAGCATTATCTTGTATGCAGATATTTATAGACTGAACCAGTTAGCTTGGCATCCCATGCAGACTGTTCAGACTATATTTAATATTACTGTTATATTTTCATGTCACTTGATATCACGTAAAAGTTGTGTACGCTTCATGTGTAAATGGGAGCATAGATCTTGTGTCTTCCTTTCTATATCTAGCAACTTGTCTATTGGCTGATTACTCATTATGTCTAGTGCTGAGCAGTCTAATATAATTTTGAGTAATAGTTCATTATTAATAACATTTGTTGTACCACCCCTTTCTATTTCTCGTAGCATTTTGAATAATTTATCCGTATATCGCTGCCTAACATCAGTTAGACTTAAGCAATGTAGTAGGAAATGTTCCAAGGTTTCTTCAGATTCATTGCATAGCTTGACACCACTCATCTTTATATTGCTTAGTTCTTTATTTATCTTCTTTTTTTTCTATCATAAGTTGTTTCTTTCATGTTTCTTGTTTTTAGTCTGACGATGTTGGAGCCTATAACTACAGAAGGAACACCTAAGCGCTTGACATCTTTTGCGAGTTGTACAATCTCTGATGCTGTTTGTGATGCAGATAATTATCACAGATGTCATTCTGTATGAAATCAAAGTCTGTTTTAAATTTCTTCACTATGTGGAGATCAAAATGTCTCAATGACTGTACTTTTCTCCCGCCTACCGTGGCCATGAAGCTTTGTTTCAACAGAACTTGATAAGTCAGATTGCGTTCTTAACATCTAATTTTCCAATCTTCAGATGAAACTGTGACCGATCACAAGTACTTTTTCATTTAAACTAATTAATTTAAACTAACACTTTATAACCATATATAATTACACCAGGTATGAAACGTCTCAGTTACAAAATTACGTAGTTACGAATCGACCAGGTACGAAACGATCAGGTTACGAAACGACATGCATTGTTCTGTACTCCAAATAACATCCAAGGGAATTAATGATCATTCTAAAATTATTAAACATGTTAAACATGTTAAAAGAGATGTGGTATGATTGCCAATGAGACAACAATATATCCAACAGAGTCCAAATAAAATGAATTTAAGCATCTATAGGTCACCATGGTCACTATACAGAGTTCAACAAATGAACAAACCCACATTGTATAGTCAACTATATATATATATATAGCTATAAAAGGCCCTAAGATCATGAAGATGACAAAATGTGGTACGTGTACAATTGAAACAAAAAAAAAACGATTGCCATATTTATGACCAAAAAAAATATAACAGACAGCAACCAACCATTAAATTACAGACTCCTGACTTGGGACAGACACATGCAGAATGTGGCAAATTAACTGTTTTCTGATAGTGTATTACTTGGTTTTAAATTTCCAAATGAAAGCTCAAAATTAGTACTCATAAGTTTTTCAAAGGAATGGTATTGCGGTGAGACATTTTTCATTGAATTTACATGTAATTGAAATTTACCCCTGCATGTTACATAGTATCCTTGTTGTGGAGAAAGTCATCTTTTGTTCTTTAAATATTTTACATGACTTTTCAAGTCATTTCTAGAATTTTTTTTCAACAAAAGGTTACACATTGTCATGCTTAGCATACCCAAACATAGCTGCGGACTGTCCACAAGTTGTAAAAAAATATAAGGTCCTATGAGCTACGGTTCTGCAGCTAACCCAAACACATCGCTTTCAAGGTGCTGGCCATATATATGAAGTCATTAAGTTTAGTAGTACTGGAAAATAAGTTCTTAAAATATTGATATAAAAAGAATATGTGTCCATTATGCCATATACATGTATAGGACACTCACGGTGCCCCACACACACTATCAGGTGTCCATGTTCCGTGAAATTGGGTTAAAATTTTAATGTGGCATAAAAAAATTTATGTTTGTCTCACTATAAACATAAACGTACAAAGTTTTGAGATGACCTAAACTTTATTATAAACTACCTTAACCAAAATAACCTGACAATGAACTTATTTTACAATAATTTTTCGTGAAATCTGAAATCAGTTACCGTAATTTAAAAGTTCAAATCATAATGAACATTATTGTACCAAGTTTCAAGTTGATGTGACCACAACTTCACTTTAAACTACCTTAGCCAAAAACTTTAACCTAATGTAGAAAGGAACAACTTATGGACACACAGACCTGACCAGATAACATAATGCTCCCCTGTTACTGTTTGTGGGGCATACAAATAAAAAATGTGGTATGATTGCTAAAGATTTAACTATCTATAAAGACCCAGTTGTGAACAATTGCAGATCACCAAAAAGCCTCCAATAATAAGCAAAAACTATACAATAAAGTAAGCTAAGGCCCCAGTATGACAAAAGTGAAACCACTCAAAGAGAAAACCGACTGCCTGATTCATACTACAACAATAAACAAAATAAATGGCAGACAGTAACTAATGACAACCACTGCATTAGTAAAAGATCCTAGCTTTGAAATCTTTTGATGAATCAGCTCACAAAATTATTGATTTTATATGGCCATATATTCATTAGTTTTATAGAGATCCATACACTTATACTCAAGTTATTGTCGGGGCCTCGGTGGCCGAGTGGTCTAAGTAGTTACTACTGTAATCACTAGCCAGTCAACACTGAGGTTGTGAGTTCGAACCCCGCTCGTGCGGGTGCACTCGACTGCAATCTTAATTGACTAGGATTGTCAGTTTTCCTATCGAAGGTCGGTGGTTTTCTCCAGGCACTCTGGCTTCCTCCACCAATAAAAACTGGCCGCCACAAAATAGCCCAAAAGCGGTGCTTAAAAGTGGCGTTAAAACACCAAAAATCAATCAATCAATCAAGTTATTGTCTGGAAACCAAATGTCTTCGGACGACACTGACAACGTCATAACATTATACGACCGCAAATTTTTTTACGGTTGTGTAAAATTGAGGTCAATATACAAATAAGGAGATGTGGTATGATTGCCAATGAGACAACTTTCCACCAGAGACTAAATGACATAGAAGTTAACAACTAAAGGTCATCGTACAGCCTTCAACAATGATGAAAACACGTACCACATAGTCAGCTATAAAAGGCCCCGAAATGACAAATGTAAAACATTCAAACGAGAAAAGGCCAGATGAAGTTGACCTATTGTTTAAAGTATCTAAGAATACGGACTAATGAACCATGAAAACAAGATCAAGTTCAGATGAACTCTGCCAGACAGACATGTACACCTTACAATAATTCCATACACCAAATATAGTTGACCTATTGCTTATAGTATCGGATAAATGGAAAAAATCATGACAACTAAAAATTGCCCAATGAACCATGAAAATGAGGTCACGGTCAGATGAAACCTGCCAGACATGAACACCATTCAATCTTTTCATACACCAAATATATTGGACCAATTGCTTATAGTATCTGAGAATGAGACCAAACTGAAAAAACTTACCATTGTCCAATGAACCATGAAGAAAAGGTAAAGGTCAGATAAAGCCTGCCAGACTGATCTATTGCTTATAGTATCTGAGTACGGTCCAAAGACTCCAAACCACCAAAAACCTATCATTGAACAACAAGATCAAGGTCAGATGAAACCTGTCAGTCTAACATGTACACCTTCCAATCATACCATGCACCAAATCTAGTTGACCTACTGCTTTGTTACTTTGTATTCAGCAGGCTTTTTACTCTTTAAACTTGTCTACTTTGAATCTACTTTACTTCAGCAACTATTGTGTCACTTGCTTTAATTATTGGGCCCTGAAGAGTACTAACAAAAATCAAGGCATTTTACTTTAAATAAAAAAAAAACATCAACATTCTTTTAGCGTTTAATGAAAAATATCATAATCAGCTCTACGTATATTCACATATAAACAAGAAAATATTTGGAGGTAGTTTTATTCATACATAATATTGATCATCTATGAAAAATTAAACATGGCAATATATGAAGAAATCTGCATACAAAATTTGTGAAGAAAAAACAAAATAACAGTTCCAATTAAGATCTCAAAACTAAAAAAATTAAAAATCGTAATTTCATAGTGTAAACTAGTAAGAAAACATAACTCATTCATCTCCTTTTATTTATTCAGCAATTCAATTCAAATTTATGTATTCCTTGTGTACATGATACATGACATATAGATATAGAGATATACACGTGTAGATAGGTATTGACATTAATAACACAAATAACATAAAACAAAAACTAGCCCCTTTTACCAAATTTATGGGTTAATGTATATTTTCTACATACAAAATAATATTTACTAAAAGTTCAATACATTTTATTTGTTAGACATTTTGCATGTTTCATGTGTTTTGTATTTTTCTATTAGAATTTCTTTACAAAAATGTACAAAATATCTAACAAAAGATTTATTAACCTTAACATACTTCTTTTTATCGCGCCTCAAGTAAATTAGCAACGTCAATTGGTTTAGCGCCATCACCTGGTGGCCCCCTAGGGAACTGTAGGGGGTCAGTTGATTTCATATGGGTATCATGACCTCACCTCTTCTTTTAATGGTGATCTATTATAGTTATTGTATTTCATTGTTCATTTTTATACATAACTTGTCAGGAAAAGTCCTGTGTACTATAAATTGGTTATACGATTCACTACTGATCCCCTATGGATCCTTAGGGGGTCAGTAACAAACCATATAACTTACACAATCTGTGGACGAACTTCAAATAAATATTCATAAAAGATGCACATATGGCTACAGAAAATAGCACCATGAGTGAACTCACAAAACGATATCCCTACCCAGCAATACAGTTATTTGCACATATTGAAGTAAATAAATTTGATTATCTCCCCTTTAAAATGCTGATTTATATTTCTTTACGTACATCTGCAGGAAGTGATGGTAGTGTTGTACAACTGTGTAAAGTTTCATCAATATACAAACTAACTACAATTTTTGCAAGAGGCACATGGAGTCCCATGGACAGACTTTGTCGAGACATAGCGATCCTATATTCCATCGTCGGCGTCAACATTTAGGTTCAGTCTGTAGTTATTTTTTTTAGACATCAATAACTTGTAAGGAGTATAAATATTTCTTGTTTTACCCAAAAAGTAGATGTAAAATTTTGATTTCAAATATTGGACCTTTGTGATCATATTTTGATTTTAAGATAGAGGAATTCATAGTTCAATCAGTTGCTGCTGACTAGTTAAGACAAGCAAAGGAGTATGTTGGATAACACCCTAAAACGGCCCCTATTTCTAGCTGCAATTTTAAATTAGGATTTCTTGACCAATATCACAATGAATCATAGCTAATACAATGACTAGATAGAAAATAAGTCTTTTTGTTGAAAATTTACGAACTTGCGTTCTATTCATGATGTCACAAATAGCACTCATTTTGATTTTCAACAAAAATTCAATGAAAACGGGTCAATTTCTGATGATTTTTTGGACAGGAAACATAGAGTGCATGCGTCGACAAAAAAGCTTTTTTTAACAAAATGTTTGTTATCACTTTTTACATATCCGACTTGAATATTTAGTTTGTCGACGCCTGCACTCTATGTTTCCAAGGCCTTAATTTGGTTGAAATTTGGACGATTTTGTTAAATTTCGCAAAAATCTCTTATTTTGATCTAAGAGGGATGTAAAAATCAATACTTTAAAACTAAAACTTTGACAAGAAAAGTTCTATTCAACTTTCTCACATGTCTTTTTATCACTTTTAAAACATTTATTATCTTGAAACATTAAACATAAAAATCGGTGCCAAATATGACCCTTACCAAACTTACTCCTTTATGATAATACATAAAAATAATGTATAAAATCAAATGTGTGCAGTATATTAAAATGACGATAAATTGCATGTTATATTTAATTAATTTGATGGCGGTTATACCACGACCTTCTGTAGGAAAACTGACAATCCTTGTCAATTAAGATTGGAGTCTAGGGCACCTGCCCTGTGCGGGATTCGAACTCACAACCTCAGGGTTGACTGGCTAGTGATACAGTAGTTCAACTACTTAGACCACTCAGCCACCGAGGCCCTTTTGACGTTTTGATCATTTTAATTATATCAAATGCAATTGTTGAAGGTTTTTCTCATCAAATTAAATCACATACATGTATTACATAACATTACATTTTACTATGCTAATTGATAAGAGGAGATATTATAAGTTATCTACGTTCATATCTGTAGATATGGATATTTTAACACCCTAAAGTATCCAAGTACACCCTGAAGCGCAGCCGAAGGGTGTACAGGGTACTGAAGGGTATTAAAATATCCATATCTACGGATATGAACGAAGATAACGAATTTATCCCCGATCTTAGTCTAAATCTGGCAATTTTTAGAGAAGTTCGTCCACAAAGTTTAACGTGAAAACAACGTTTTTTTCATTTTTTAAATATCTTTTATTGAAATTTGGGAATTTGACATAATTTTCGGTAGAACCCTACAGGTAGACAAATATAAGACGTTTTTAATCTAGAGACAGAGAAACTGAAATGGGTTGAATTTGGCGCTCAATGTTGTGAGAGTTACATCATAGACAGCGTGACGTCAACGTGGGTCATTTGCATAGCTAGGTCAGTAGTCCCATTCATTGACAATGTGGCAGCATAGTGATGCATTTACTTAAATGAGTGCAAATAATCGACATATAATAAGATAATATCGTTAGTGGATTAAGTATCTAATTACACAGACATCATGGATAATCTACATAATTCGATATTTCATAAGGAACAACCATGGAACTAAGGAAAACACGTGTGAAGTTCCCCGATGTAATGGGTAGCAACGTCCTGGGATATGGGTTAGCAACACCCAGGGGCTATGGGTTTTGTAACGACGTGTGTTAACCAATCAAAATCCTAGAAATATACTAAGCCGGGGATAAGATAAGTTGAACGGTTTGCTAATGACTTCCTACGAATCTTTAGGAGATCAGTAGTGAACTGTATAATGAATTTATCTTACACCAGACTTTTCCTGCCAAGTTTTGTATAAAAATAAACAATGAAATCCATTAACATTAATAGATGATGTCACCATTAATCTACTGAACATTTTTCTGAACCCCAACGGATCCAAAGGGAGTCACCACTTGATGGTGTTTAACCAATCCCCAATAAGAGCCATTATTTGGCCGCTGAATTTGCAAAAATAGGAAACTATTCAAGCATTGATAAATACAGATTAATATAATCTAGACACTTAAGTGTAGAAAGGTCAATTATGATGCCACTATGACATCATAAACATGTCTTATATTATATATTGGTGTGCAGCAACTTTACCAAAAAGATATTTTACACATATAAATATCTTTGTAAAATACATTTGTAGAAAAATATCTTTCTAGGTAAAATGGGTAAAACGGTTGCTCATATCTAACTGTTAATGACAATATAAAGGATTTTTGATTTTTGCGAATTCAAAGGGCCAAAAACGTGGCCTTATCATACCTTCTACTTAATTACTTTGATCAATGCTTTATTTTACTGTGTTCAATGATGGCATTTTCATCACTGATTATTAAAGCCAAAATATGACTACAGCTAAAATATCCATATTAACTATATTGACACATACTGATGACATGTTGCAGGTTTAATGAACATTTTTTTCATTTCTTTATCTTGCATAACCTACACTATTCAGTACAAATGCCCTGGGACCAGTATCACATTTATTAGAAAATGTAGAACTCACATTAAAATTAATATCTCATTAATCATGTTAATTTATATTGCATTTATGTCCCATGTTCAACCATCACATAGATCAGGAATGTACATAATAACTCTAAACATGTACCATAGCAGAGGTAGAAAAACAAATGTTTTAATGAAAGCTAGTTCATCCCTAAACATTGATCTAAGTGTTGGTTTATATTGACAGAGGGTACAGATTTATTACACACCGGACAATTGGCATTACTAGGATCACAATTCTCATTTTGTTTGTTGTTTATTTTTCTAAAAACTTCATCGATTTTTGATTCCTGATCAATTTTCTGTTTCTTCCTGCTCCCAGTCATATCATCGCCTGATAATCTCTTTCCTGATGAATATTTTTCAGATTTATTTTGTCCGTTTCCTGATGGATAACTTTGAGATATATAATTACTGTTCTCTGATGAATGACCTTGATAATGATCGTTTCTGAATGAATGACCTTGAGATTTATTTTGACTGTTCACTAAAACCTGGCTTAGGGATATATTAGGTATTAATGAAGGACTGTCTGCTTTTGGATCTAATATTTTCAATGATGACCCAAACTGTTTATTTGCCCAGACACTGCGTACTTTAGAAGCTACCTCACTGTCCACTGAAGAAGTTCTAGTTAGTTGACTTATTGGGTCAGAATTTAATTTTGGTAAACTTTTATCATTATTTTGTTTCGAATTCACCTGCGTCATTAAATCCTTAGTTTTTATACTTTCAGTATGATCCATATTTGCTGAAGAGTTTGAATCATAATTACTTTCATCAAAACATTTTTCATTTGTAGAATTGTTCAGATAATTCTTCTGTTTTACATCTGCATTGTCATATTTCCCGTTTGATTCATTAGATTTTTCCCTTATTTCTGGCCCATCACATAGAATAAGGTCATCATCATCGGAGTCAGATAACATCAATTCTGCAAATTTTTTCTGCCGTAATAATTCTTTATCAGAGATTTCCCCTGATGTTGTGATTGCGTTAACACTTGTCCTCACAGTCTTTTTTGGCGAGTCTTTTACAACAGACTTAGAAGTAATGTGTTTATTACCATGGTTATCATTATCTGGCTTTGATGTTGATGGTTTACCAGTTTTATCAACTGTTGTCAAGACCCCATTAATAACCATCTTTTTCTGTGAACCTTCTGATTGTAACCTTTGCCCTTTACCAAGAAATGACCTTATATCAGGATTTGTCTTTTTTCCTGCTTTACCCAAATCTGAAAAAAATATATGATAAAATGAATTCCAACATTCTGACACATTTACTTTTACATTTGTGATTTGTAATATTAAAGACTTTACTTTATTGAATGTAAATCAGACGATTGGTTTTTTCATTTAAATTGTTTCACATTTTGTCATGTCAGGGCCTTTTATAGTTGATTATAAGGTATGGGTATTAAACTTAATGCACATCCAAAAACAGGCCCCAAAGATGTTTGCCAACTTTTCCCACACTTGTTCAAGTATAATCACACAAATATTTTCTATTACCGTAGTGATTTATGATAAGTTGTTGATGTGAGCTAACAAGTAAAACTGTGAGCTACTGCTCACTGATGATACCCCCGCCGAAATATTTCAGTAAACAGGAAGTTGTTGAGTGATGAATCTGAAAACGCATCACATGGTATAGCTGACTTATATAAACCCTGAAACCAAATTTCAGAAATCCTTGTCCAGTAGTTCCTGAGAAACTTGGCTATCATGTGTAAAATAATAAGAGTGTTTGGTAAACAGGAAGTTGTTGAGTGATGAATCTGAAAACGCATCACACGGTGTAACTTACTTATATAAACCCTGACACCAAATTTCAGAAATCCTTGTCTAGTAGTTCCTGAGAAAAATGAAATGAAAATATTCATGAGACAGACGGACGGACTGACCGATGGACTGACGGATGGACTGACGGAAGGACAGACAGAGGTAAAACAGTATACCCCCCTTTTTTTAAGCGGGGGTATAATTAAAAAGAAGTGTTTATCGTGAAATAAAGAATTTATTTGTGATTTTTTTTTTGCAAAATATTTCTGTATATAAATTATTCTGAATTAGGTGAGGGTTTTTTAATTTGTTGGTTTACTGATCTGCCTACCAAATTTTTCTGATTTTCAGAAGAAGAAAAAAGAATTTGAAATTTCATGCTTTTTTTATTTCTGCCTTTTCTACAAAATTCATTATTCCTGAAAATAAATTAAAATATCTGCAAAGTAGTATTTACCAAAAATGTTTTTGAATTATTTTACATGTATCGTGTTTAAACATAAACAGAAATGATAACGCATTGTCCGCTGGGCTTGTGTTCATAAAAATAAAAATGTAAAGATTAACGATAAAAACAAATCTATATATAGATCTGCTAATGTTAGCACTTACAAAATTTTTAGAACAAAAACCTATGTTCAAAGCCCTTTACAATAAGTTAGATTTTCTTATATGTCATACCAAGATTTTAGTTTGAACCATTTTGGGATAAGCTGTTTCATCCTCTTAAAATGGATCCATCATATCCAAATGGGAAAGATTTTTTTCTTTTAAACTATATAATCTGACAGAACAATCATCAGTACAAATAGTTATCAAAGGTACCAGGATTATAATTTAATACGCCAGATGCGCGTTTCGTCTACATAAGACTCATCAGTGATGCTCAGATCAAAATAGTTATAAAGCCAAACTCAGGGTTTAAGCTAGGATTTTGAGGACTTTAGTCACTTTTCCGCGAGATGAAAATCAACCTTATTTTGGGAAGCAGCAAAGGACCTAGGATGTTTATTACTATCTATACATCTTTGTCAGACTTTGAAGGACTTAGGCATACTAGGCAGTTACTGCATGATTTGACTGATGTGGCACTTTATATAAGAAGATTAGGATATAAGATCTAGAAATCTAGTTCACAATTTCACTTCAGTTAGTTTCAGGGTACATTCCTAATCAGCAAAAGTTGGGATCAATTTCTTTTAAAACCAGGAATCACAGCATAAATGAACTTGTAAGGACTATTTCACTGCATACAAGTACAAAGTTGAAGAGCATTGAGGACCAAAAAATTCAAAAAAGTTGTGCCAAATACGGCTAAGGTAATCTACAAACCTGTCTCTTTTCTCTCCTTGTTTGTCTCTTTCTTCTCCTTGTTTTCACTTTTATCTTTTGACTTCTTTTTCCCATACCCTTCTGGTTCCTTTATCTTAACATAAGTTCCATTACACATGTTCTTATGGTCCTTCCACCAGGGGTCTCTCTCTGACGGAGCTCGGTTCATGGCTCGCTTTACATAACCAAAGTATGGTTTTCGAGTTTGACATGGTCCGTTACATCTCCACCAGTGTTGTCTGAAATGGTCCACCTCGTCATGGAAATTATGATATACCTGTAAAGAATGAGAAGACACCATTACTAATGGAATCTGCTATAGTGTTAGGGGGAAAGTAGATAGAACTGAACATTCTGAGCATTTTTACACTATCAGATTTTAAACACATACTTGCATTTTACCCTGATGTTCTATAATTAGCCATGGCAGTGCTAGCCATGGTTGTTCATTGGCAGGAACAAGAGCCATGGTTGTTCATTGGCAGGAACAAGAGCCATGGTTGTTCATTGGCAGGAACAAGAAGCATGGTTGTTCATTGGCAGGAACAAGAGCCATGGTTGTTCATTGGCAGGAACAAGAAGCATGGTTGTTCATTGGCAGGAACAAGAGCCATGGTTGTTCATTGGCAGGAACAAGAAGCATGGTTGTTCATTGGCAGGAACAAGAGCCATGGTTGTTCATTGGCAGGAACAAGAAGCAAACAAGAATTACTGTGGATTCATTTATTTTCGTGGGTACCAATTTTCGTGGATTAAGGAAAACTTACATGTTCGTGGATATTTAATTTCGTGGTTTTGCTGAAGTCTGCATACAAGCCTATAGAACATTTGTTATTCGTTGAACATTTAATTTCGTGGTTAACCTGTACCCACGAAATCCACGAAAATTGGTATCCAACGAATAATAATGAATCCACAGTATACAATTTCATATAAGCTCCTGTTTGTTTGAAAATAATCACATAATTTCTGGCGTTCTAAAAAAGGTGAACCCACCACATTTTGTATGTTGTCTTTTTTTTTGCACATAAATTAGGTTTTTATCATTTAAATTGTTATACATTTTGTCATTTCAAGCTTTTTTATATATTACTAAACAGAATGGCTTTAGCTATTTGTTGAAAGACATACAGTAACCTATAGTTGCTTGCATCTCCATCATTTAATCTCTGGTTGATAAATTTCTCATTGGCAATCATACCACATCTCCTTATTTTTATATTCATAGAACATTTTTTATAGTTAACAAAAACAACTTTGATGACCAGAAAAAACACCAAGTGACAGTTATAGATCATATCTTAAAATGAGCATATAATAAATCTCTGATTTATCCTTCTTATGAACTTTGAAATTGAAGCAAAAAGAAAAAAAATACCAACTTCAATTATATATATAATGGTATTATCAATAATGATGCTCCCCGTTGAATCATTTAACCTTTACCCTCCTAACATAGCTATACTCACTGATATTTTAGTTCCTGTGGCATCATTAATCCTATACATGTGTTTATGGAATTCTGGCCCATGTCCATCATGGTCCTGTGAACAAACACATTAAATACAATACAAGCATTACATACAAGGAACAAAGTTATCTCCTCTCCATTAATATTGTGCAATACTTATCTTTTTGTTGTACAATTTTGGTAAATATATATATATTTAGTGTTAACCCTACAGATAAAGAGGACTCACTAACAGACAGTAAACAGATCAGAAAATATATAGATTCAAAGTGAATGCAAACATGCTGAGTGGTTGAATTGCTTTCAATTTGCATTGCAAACTTACAGTGAGGTGAGAATAGTTATCAAAGGTACCAGGATTATAATTTAATACGCCAGACGCGCGTTTCGCCTACATAAGACTCATCAGTGAAGCTCAGATCAAACTAGTTATAAAGCCAAACAAGTACAAAGTTGAAGAGCGTTGAGGACCCAAAGTTCCAAAAAGAGAGTTTGGTTTTGTTTTTTTTTGCTCCAAGTTGAAAGTCTCACTGTGACTATGATGAGGAACTGCAATAAAAGCGATGTTCCTTTGCTTTTTGTGTGCTTTTTTGCTGTGGATGTACTTATTTTGTGTCCTGGATATACCCCATATCCTTTGTTTTTCTATTACAACCAATTCTATTACAACCAAACATTACATTATATTGAGAAAAGAAATATATTTTGGCAACACTCTTTCAGTACTTTGTGCATATTTTGTCTTTTTGTTAGATGTTTTTGGTGCCTTAAGTCAATCTGATGAGTAATGCATTTTCAACTGATTTTTACAGTTCATGTTGAGTTGTGTCACCACTGACATAGATAAGGGGAGAGATTAGTGTTGCAAACATGTTTAACCATGCCACATTCTGTATGTGACTCCCCCAAGTCATGAGCCTGTAATTTAGTTTGTTGTCATCTGTCAATTATTTTTTTTACTGTTTTATGTAATTGTCTTTTACAGAAATCAGGGTTTTAGTTTTTTCTCATTTAAATTGCTTTACATTTTAATATCATTTTAAGGCCTGTTGAAGTTTAATTTATGGTATGATTATTGTTGAACGCTACTTTCTTTGGTGACCAATAGTTGCTTACATGTACATCTACGTCATTTTAGTCTCTTAAGGATAGTTATTTCATTTGCATTCATACCACATCTTATTATGTTTAAATCTTAATTGACTAGAATTGTCAGTTTTCCTATCGAAGGTCGGTGGTTTTCTCCGGGCACTCCGGCTTCCTCCACCAATAAAAGCTGGCCGCCACGAAATAGCCCAAAAGCGGTGCTTAAAAGTGGCGTTAAAACTTAAAATACCAAAAATCAAAATCAAATTATTATGTCTAATATATTTTGTTTGAGTTACCTCCCTTTGCAGTCTTCACAATAAACTTTTAAATCTACAAACCCCATGCTCAATATTTTGGGAAATTTAGTTAAGATTTCTATTGGCCTGTAAAGATGATTTTACAGGCCCAAAAGCAATTTTACAACCCTGGGCCACCTGGCCTGTGGTTAAGAGTGAAGACTGCCTTTGTCAATAATTGTTGATACAACAGATATTCTGTAGTATTTTTCAAAGAAAATGATGTTCTTGATATATAGTTATATAATTATTTTGTATCTATTCTAACTAAAAAGTTATATTTTTAAAGGTAGACTGAAAACAGCAGATGGAAAAGGGAAATTGCAGTCATTTAGAAAATGTTTAAAAATAGAAATCTGGATTTATCAGGGTTTTAAATGTTTGTACAAATCCACAAAATCAAATATTAAGGTAGATGGGGTGTCTAAATTATAATCCATAGAATTTTTTAATAATTTGCCAAAATGTAGTTTATTTCATGCTTTTTTAAAAAAAATAATAAAAAAATGGGTCACTGGGCTTATTTTCACGCTACAGGTTGTGCAAAATTGACAGATTTTTGTATAGATTATGCATGCAAAACCCAATTTTCTGCCATAAAACGTAAACTACACCATAGAATTTTGAGATAAAAAATGTGAAAATAGCTCTAATATAATGCTTTCAGATAAGAAAACGAAAAAATGGGGTCATGGGACCCGTTTTCTTGCTACATAATAAAATAGGTAAATTCCTAACACATTCTATTGTAAAAGTAACTTTATCTGAATTATCTGCCCTTACATTTGAGTTGCCTCCCCTTATGTGACAAAGTTGGAAAAAATTGAATCAAACAAAAGTATTCTGTTTTTTGTAAATTACAACCATAAATATGATAAAATATGTCATTTTCTATATTGAAATGAAAATTCTTACACATGAATTACCGACTACTCTCAAAATTTGCACATTTTATTAAAGATCAAGACCGATTGTTTTCTGGTATTTCAAAATCCAAGATGGAGGAAGACACCCTATCTACCTTAAAGAAAATATAAGTTTTCCATGAAAATCAATGAATCTGACATCATCTAATAAGTGTAGGCATGTATCATCTCATTCTGTAATAAGTGTATGTAATAACTAACCTTATTGTTATCTGTAATAAATATGTAGGCATGTATCATCTATGCTGTAATAAGTGTATGTAATAACTAACCTTATTGTTATCTGTAATAAACAGGTAGGCGTGTATCATCTCATGCTGTAATAAGTGTATGTAATAACTAACCTTATTGTTAACTGTTATAAACAGGTAGACATGTATCATCTCATGCTGTAATAAGTGTATGTAATAACTAACCTTATTGTTATCTGTAATAAACAGGTAGGCATGTATCATCTATGCTGTAATAAGTGTATGTAATAACTAACCTTATTGTTATCTGTAATAAACAGGTAGGCATGTATAATCTCATGCTGTAATAAGTGTATGTAATAACTAACCTTATTGTTAACTGTTATAAACAGGTAGGCGTGTATCATCTCATACTGTAATAAGTGTATGTAATAACTAACCTTATTGTTATCTGTAATAAACAGGTAGGCATGTATCATCTCATGCTGTAATAAGTGTATGTAATAACTAACCTTATTGTTATCTGTAATAAAAAGGTAGGCGTGTATCATCTCATGCTGTAATAAACAAACAAATCAATAAAAACAGGAAGTAGACAAATGTTAAATATCTTAACTCAGTATAAAATACTCATTTTTAGAAATTGCTTTCTAGTAATGAAATATTAGTTTTAGACTGCTGGCAATAAGGGGATATCTGTATTGTGCTTTTCTTTGCAAATGTAAATTTTTAAATTTTAAGTCTCATATTTGTTTACTACATTGCTGCCTTGCATAGCAGAGATGAGTAAATAAAAAATTGGGACAGTAAAATCAAGTCTTACACAAGCTCAATGCAGTACATTTATCTCCATTTAAATGCACTTCTAGAGCCTTTTGCATTAGTCCAGTTCCTAAATGTCATTAACACTGCATGTAAAGTTAATGTTGAAATGGCAAGATATCATACAATTTCATTTCAAATACTTTTTTTTCAAATTTCAATGTTTCACATTCTTTAACTTTGAATTAAATCCAAAAGGACCAACTTTTATATCAGGATAAAACACTATACATAAGTCTGTATGTTGACCTCTAGATGTCTTCTGGATATTTGTGCTATTTGGTTAGTATCTTTGTGACATATATCCCACATATCAATTTATTCATATCAATATAAACAAACCAGTAATGTTTCTACCAGATCTCTTCTAGGTCGTAACTTTAACAAAGGTAAGCTCAACCTGACAGAACATAAACCTCCTCTTCTTTCATAAACACAAAGTCCAGCACATCTGAAATATATAAAACATCATCATCAACACAAAGACCAGCACATCTGAAATATATAAAACATCATCATCAACACAAAGTCCAGCACATCTGAAATATATAATAAACTGTTAACACAGAGATATGTCTCGCCTATTTGTTATTTTGATAATGCAAATGTTGAAATTAAAATAGCAATACTTTAACATGTAAGTTATGCAAATATTCAAAGTCAATGAACCATGACTGAAGGTACAGGGCTAAACAATCTCCATGGAAATGAGATGTGCCAATGCTAATACAACTGCAAACCAAATACCACTGACTTTTCGTAAGTCGTTCCCTTTAAACAAACCTAAACACAAACATTAACTTGTAAACTATGTAAAAGTTTCAAAGTCAATGAACCATAATTAGGGGGTGGGGTTATATAATCTCCATGGAAATGAAACTTGCAAATGCCAATACATTTGAATACCGAATATCATTGACTTAACATTAGTGGTTCATCTTAAACTGACCTAATCACAAACCAATACATGTAAACTAAGCAAAAGTTTCAAAGTCAATAGATCATGACTGAGGGGTAAGGACCAAATATTCTCCATGGAAATGAGATGTGCTAATGTTTACAACTGCATACCAATTATCATTGACCTACCACTAACAGTTACCCTTAAACTGACCTAATCACAAACTAATACATGAAAACTAAGCAAAAGTTTCAAAGTCAATAGACCATGAATGAGGGGGCGGGGCCAAATAATCTCCATGGAAATGAGATATGCCAATGCTTACACAACTGCATACCAAATATCATTGACCTACCACTAGTGGTTCCCCATAAACTGACCTAATCACAAACTAATACATGTCAACTAAGCAAAGTTTCAAAGTCAATAGACCTTGACTGAGGGGGCGGGGCCAAATAATCTCCATGGTAATGAGATGTACCAATGCTAATACAACTGCATACCAAATATCATTGACCTATCACTAGTGGTTCACCATGAACTAGACCTAATCACAAACTATTAATACATTTTGACGCCGCCGCAGACGCAGACAATGGCATACCTATGTCTCCCTTTTTGACTCCTTCAAGGTGAGACAAAATCCTCATCATAAACACAAAGTCCAGCACATCTGAAATATATAAAACCTCATCATCAACACAAAGTCCAGCACATCTGAAATATATAAAAACCTCATCATAAACACAAAGTCCAGCACACCTGAAATATATAAAACCTCATCATAAACACAAAGTCCAGCACATCTGAAATATATAAAACCTCGTCATAAACACAAAGTCCAGCACATCTGAAATACATAAAACCTCACCATAAACACAAAGTCCAGCAAATCTGAAATATATAAAACCTCATCATAAACACAAAGTCCAGCACATCTGAAATATATAATACCTCATCATATACACAAAGACCAGCAACCTTAATTTCTCTCCTTTGCAAAGAGACATTAATGATTCCTTTGCAATTGCTGTTATCTTCAATCAACATCTGTCCTACTTCCATGGTTTTTCTTTAATATGTATATTTATGGATGGAGAGTTGTCTCATTGGCACTCATACCACATCTTCTTATATCTATATGTACTATTGCATTCAGGGGAATCCGATTTCACCATTCCTTATCATTTGTCCCTGACACAAAAAATCTCATCATGGATTAAACAAACCTTGTGAATTTAAGGTAATTCCACAAATAGTTTTTCTTAATGATGCTTGAACCAAAATATTTGTAAACCCAAACATCCAATACAAATGCTGAAGAGATGACAAAACCTAAAAAAAATCCAAAGTATTGCCAAACCCAGACAGTGAATCAGTGCTCTGCATAAGGGAGAAACTTTGCTTCATTTGTGTCATTTCAAATATATATGTTATCACTGCTTCCGTAACACAATATTCTCATGGCAATATCACAGAACTTTGATATAGTAATACCCTCTCAGACTAACAGTCCACAAGTATACATACAGGGTCATTCTTGGGCTCCATTTCACCTCTATTCCTGCTAATCTTCCCCAGAAGAATTCTTCATTAAATTGTAAGAAGAGTTCCCTGATGTCAGGGTTAGGGTCAATTGTTTCCCAACTCTCATCCACTATAGACAGGTTAGCACTGGGTTTAGCTACTGATTGTGAGGGCTGCCATGAGTCTCTGTCTAGTTGTTCTTGTAGTTCAAGTGCCAATAAAAAATCATCATCAATAAAGTTCATCTCGTTCTACAAAAAAAAAAAAAAATATTCTATTAATTATCATATACATGTAATACATGTATTATGGTATTGATGCCAAAGTACAATCATGACAATTGTTCCTTCTAATTGCTCTGGAAACTTTGTGATATTAATAATGCTATAATGTCTGTTCTTTTTGGAATAAATGTTCTATAGCCTTTATTCTGAAGGGAACAAAATTTGAAATACTGTTATATTTCTTCCAGTTTATTCAGAAGTTTATGGACTCCATATTGGACAAAGTTCGAGGAGACATGGTGCTGAAATCGTGTCTGTTTCATTGTCAGATCTATTCATTCCTTTGAAGCATATCAATCAATTTCATTAACAAATCTGCATGTTGCATTAATTATATTTAACAGCCAGGGGACTTATTGAAATAAGTGATTTTTAAATCACTTATTTAGGTAGCAAATTCGAAGTTTTGTCACAAATTGTGATTGTGTAGTTTTACCAAAATTTTAAACACATAGGTTTAGATAATATCTTTTCATTAGTAAAATTGAAAAAAAATGAACTTTTTGCTTCTTTTAAGCAGCAAGGTTTATGCCTTTGGTGCAATCATTTAGCTGCAAATTCTATTTTAGTTGAAAAAATGCTATAAAAATGGCTTTACATAATGAACTGATACTTTCTTAACAGATTTTTCCCAGCAGTGGGTGTATTTTTCCTGTAAAATTCACGGTTTCATCTTATAGATTATGTTATAAAATTCTACTGTTCCCATCAAAATTTCACTGTTCGGGGGGTGTTGAAATTATTGGGGGTTATTAAAATAATGATACTGAAAGAAGTGATATTTTGGAAGGAAATTGAGGTATGATACTTAAACAAGTGATTTTTATGTCATTATCCTAGATTTAGTACAAGGTCATCACCTGACATGACTCGGTCATCCTATCAACACAGATGTTGGTTCTGATAATTTTAGCAACATAATTAGTCCCTGGATCATTAGAATTCTATATTTAAAGCTACAATAAAATTAAATCACTTAGTCTAGTGATTAATTTGTACTACTTAAATAGGTGATTATTAAAGAAAGACAACTCTTACTTCCAACCTTTATGGACAAAATGTTACTTGAATCAGTGATTTAGAAAATCACTCATTTAAGTAAGTCCCCTGACTGTTTAAAAAGAGGCAAAAAATCTTAAAAAAAACGATTGCTTGTTAGAATTGGTTTCAAAGAGTAAATAAAAATTACTTGTACAAGTAGTACCCCTGGCTGATATTGAACTGTTATCATGGTTATGTTAACAGTAATTTGGACATAACCGATCGCTCACAACAGCTAGAAGCAAGATACCAGGAGACTATAAACGTACACTATCTTGACGTACATTTTCACTGAACTAGTACACATTTTTGTTTAGGGGTGTCAGGATTTTATCGTTGCTACCTGACACTTATGTATTATGACGTTTTATTATACAGTATATCAGTCAAGGGTCTATCTTAAATAAGTTATTAGAGAAAAGTAACATACATGTCGTTATTGTGGGCTAAAATATAAAAAAACTGTGATAACATATGTATGTTACATGTTTCAAAGAGGCAATATACTTCCTTTACTTTGTTAAATTGTATACAAGTTCTATAGGTATTATTATTGTCTTTATGTATACTAAGCTTTAGAAAGATATAACAGTTCATAGTTTGCCAATCATGTATAGTACACCTATGTTATTACAGAAAATATATGCCTGTAATAACTAAAGGGTGTTATTACAGCTTCTCTACATCTCTTCAAAGCCGTTTCTCAGACATATATCACAATATATTTTAATTCATTGTAAGAAATAATGATCAGAGCATGCAATGAGGTTCTGCGCAAGATTCCAAGTAATTCCCTAGTGTCTCATTTTATAAGTTACATGCCTGTAATAACTAAGCCTTGTTATTACAGCTTAAGTGTATCCCTTAAAAGCCTTGTCTCATTGATTTACCATGGTTGATCAAAAATGTATTAATTGAATTGGAAAATTAATTATTAAGGTTATGTATTAAGTTTCTGCTCAAAGTTTCAAGAAATCCCAAGAGCCCACTAAAAATAAAAATATTTTTGGTGTATTAACTAATAACAAACATATGTTACTACAGATTGAGAAAAAAAGAGCAGACAACTCTTGAAAGTATATGTAATAACACATGTATGTTATTTTTCTTTAATAACTTATTTAAGTTAGACCCTTGACTGTATATAGCAACCCTTATGGAACTGAATTGTTTGCCGCAAACTTGCAGCAGACTTGCTGCAAGCTTGCGGCAAACAAAAAGTTTGCAGGAACACAGAAAATAGTGTTTGCAGATGTTTGCCGCTAGCTGCAAACTTCTGGCAAACATTGCAGCTTTTTGCTGCAAGCTTGCGGCAAGTTTGCAGAAACATCAATGTTTGCCGTAAGATTGCCAGAAAGTTTAAAATTATAAAGAATGTTTGCCGCAAGATTGCAGAAAACTTTGACCATTCTATATGTTTGCCGCAAGATTGCTGAAAACTTTGACCATTCTATATGTTTGCCAGAACATTGCAAGAATTACACAATATTGACTGGGCATGCCTAGTTGGCACTTCCTGGAAGTTATCAATTTGAAATTGTGGCTAGGTCATGTTGGTTGTGTTTGGAAAATGCATTTCACAAATAAGAGATCAAGGAGGCATTTTGGTTCAATAGATAAAGATATTCAGTATGTAATTTTGTAAGTACAAATTATTCATAGAATGTTTTAATAAAATAATTAATGTTATCATCATACATAATAAAGTAAGCAACTATATATACATGTATGTGTGTAATGAAAAACTTTAGCTATTATAAGTTTGAATTTTGTAACTGATGTACTGTACCATGTTTATTAAAACTAAGTTCAATTCTGTTATGCAATTGTTACCTAGCTTTATTCTCAATACACATTTGAGATTTATCCTTTTTCATTTCTTAATACAGGTATATGATGTCATTTGAGAATGACCCCTGCCCCCTTTTTCAAAACTCAAATGCATGTATGTATTTCCTTAAATCTCGTAAGTTTGCAAGAACTCTTTCAATGACTGTTTGTATACAGGCATGAATTGATTTTTTAAAAATGTTGCTGTGTAATTTGAAAGAGATAAATTGAATATGTCTACACACATGACATTGATATAATGTGTAGTTCCTGCAAGTTTGCCGCAAGTTTGCAACAAACAATTGCCGCAAGCTTGCAGCAAACAATTGCCGCAAGCTTGCGGCAAATCTAATTTGCATAATTATGTTTGCAGCAAGCTTGCCGCAACCTTCATTTGCATGGTAAAATGGTTGCGGCAAGTTTGCAGCAAATGTTTGCTGCAAGCTTGCGGCAATGTTTGCTGCAAACTTGCGGCAAATGTTTGCCGCAGAGCTTATTTTTCGGTAAAGGAATGGCTAGACGTTGAATAAACACCATCTATACACAACACATTTATCTACTTTACACAACATTTATAAGGTCAGCCAGATGAAGCCTGCCTCTTAGGCTGAGGGATTTTCTCACTGTGATGAAGACCCATTGGTGGCCTTGGGCTATTTTCTGCTCTTTGGTCGGGTTGTTGTCTCTTTGCCACATTCTCCATTTCCATTCTCAATTTTTTTTATCACTTCATGTTATCTGTCAAACAGTATTTGTGTAGTAGAAAGGTCGATAGCAGGATTACCATTAACCATGTGTTAGAGGTCTAAATTTTGATTCATAAACAAATTCTTTTCTCACACAGCTAACTCAAGAAATTAAAGACAACTCTGATATTCTGTCCTCTACGTGTTCAGAGTTTTGAGTTACAAAATATCCTATTAATCTTCCTGGTCCAGCCAGTGGATTAACAAGTGAAAGGTTTATTATTCTAATGGCTTAGTTATGTCCCTTAGACATTCAGATTTTTTTACTTATACAAGTAAAAAAGTGATACTATCTTCTTTTCTTGAATTTCTCAGGACTTCTTTGCTCTAATAGAATTTTTAATGGTCTGTCCTTTGCAGATGTCTTTACTAATCATTTAAGTGTAATTTCATGGACAATAAAAATCTCATTTGTCTGTTATCTTCAGGACACTGCTCATTTACAAGCCTCCAAGGGGCAATTTTTGAAGCGTGCACGCAATTACTTAAGATCTTTGCGCAATTAGTTTCTTTGATGAATTAATGAGATGAAACGTTGAAATCTAATAAAAAATTATGAGCTTACCAGAAAAAAATTGTTTATTAGGCATGTTTTTACATCCCAAAACTTGAGAATTTTAGGGATTGTAAAAAAAAATTACTTATACATGTACAAGTAAATTTTTTGAGAAAATTAAGGAGAGATTATTCAAACTTTAGAAGAAAATATTAATATAATAAATTTACTTATATAAGTATATTATTATTTACTTCTTCAAGTAAATAAAGATAACTTGTACAAGTAATACCCCGGACTGACAATATTCATTTAATCATTTCGTCAAAATAACTCACAAAACACTAAAGGAACCCTGGTTATGTTTTTAGTATGTCACTTTATTTAAAAACAATATAAAAAACTTATCTTTATTTTATACACTTACTAAAACAATGTAAAACACAATTAAAAAATTAATCAAAACAAAACCTTTGAAAAAAAAGGGTGTGAATGGACCCAAGGGCGAACATGATTTTGAGAGAATGGACCTGGATTCTACTGAACATGACCTGTCTAAGAATGGAACAGTTCCAAAAATGGGGAACAGAGAAAATGCTGAAGTACTTTACAATATTCATGTATTTACAAAATCTGTGGTTGGAGCCACTTGAGATTATAATTGTATTCATATTTGTTTAACAGTTTTTTATAAGATTTCTAGAAATCTGAAATTTGTTGAACATTGCTAGACTTTATTCAGTTGTGTGTTTTGTTTACATGTCATAGATATAAGAAGATGTGGTATGAGTGCCAATGAGACAACTCTCCATCCAAGTCAAAATTTATAAAATTAAACCATTATAGGTCAAAGTACGGTCTTCAACTTGGAGCCTTGGCTTACACCGAACAGTAAGCTATAAAGGGCCCCAAAAATTACTAGTGTAAAACCATTCAAACGGGAAAACCAACGGTCTAATCTATATAAAAAACGAGAAACAAGAAACACTCATGAACCACATCAACAAACGACAACTACTGAACATCAGATTCCTGACTTAGGACAGGTGCAAACAAATGTAGCGGGTTTAAACGTTTTAATGGTACCAAACCTTCACCCTTTTTCTGAAACAATAGTGTAACATCACAACATAGAAAGACACACTATAAAATATCAACTGATTTAATAGCTTAACTCAATCAAAGGACATATTAACACGAGTGAACATACACTGAACAAATAAATTTCACCTATACAAAATAAATAAACTAAGGGAAGAATAATAAAAGTAACATGTTATATCGGTATGAAATGTTAAACAATTTAAGAAAAACAATATGCTCGAACAAAAATATCAGCCATTTGCAATAACTTTAAACACAGGTAAATGAAAATAATTTTGTTGTTTACAGGTATACGTGTACAGTTCCAAAAGAGAAAGGAAATATTTTTACAAAATAAATAATTTTGATGTTCATAGTACGAAGTGAAAATTTATAGTAGTACCAAACACTTATCAAAGCTGGTATATAGACCAGATATAACCCTGATTAACATTAAATAACAAAAAAGCATTACAATTAGTATCAACAGGTCAAATAAACAAGAAAGTACGATTTGAGAGTACTCGCAGTTACTGACAGCTAGTTAAAAGCCAAAACAATTAATAATAAAAAATCATGAATCAGAGACTAAAATCAACTAAAACACATCCCAAGGATTTAGTATTTTAACGTCATGGACAGTCAAAGAAGACATGACTTGTGCAATGCCAAAAATAAATGTATCGACAGACAGTAGGATAGTTAGGAGTTTAACCTCTTAATTGTAACTAAATATGCCCGAAGGACTAGTAACAAAATATTCTTGGCGTTTCCAAAATACAAAGTGGAAAATCCCTTTATCTCTATTCTATCTTAGCCAATCAAATTCAATTACATCATCAGGGATTCCAAGAATTTGATTTTGATTTTGTATGTTTTAAAAATAGAACAAATCACTCTGGGTGGACCGGTATCAAGTATTGATTGCAATTCCTGTACTTATAATCATTATCAATTTCTCCGTACTTAGCGTATTGTACATTGCTCAATCGGAGACTTTCAATTAACGGTACTGGGTGCATTGATTGATGTGAACTGTTACTTGTAAGAATGATTTAGCCTGTTCGGAAATACATATGAACATAAAATTCTAAATTAATGCTCAAATAAAAAAGAGTGAGAACTACATAAACTGAATAAACAACTTTGACAGCGTACACGGAGTTTTGTGTCCCATCTTTGGTCCGTGTTTTACCATTGACAAGTCAACATCCGGTAATAAGAAAAATGCTTTTTGAAAAAAGAAAGCACAGCTCTGACAGCGTGATATTGCAATAATAAAGAGTTTAAGGCAGATTTTAGTTCACTAATTTTTAACATTTCTTACATGTACATATGTATGTGGACTGTCAATTTAACAGTTTACATCAGAACATCAAAATTATATCAAAAATCTTCTGAAGTTTAGTATCGTTTTAATGTCAATTATTCAGGCATTGTGATGATGCCAGAATTTTAACAATCATGACAATGATTGCCTTTGTAACTAAGTCTTACAGGATTGAAATTTGAATCAAAAGAAAATATCCAACTGATTCAAACACTTATTGGAAGTCCGGGCTATCAGGTTTGATTTGCTGGGCTAGCAGTTCTATCAACAGGACCAGTAACTCCTGCTACCAATAAGTCCTGGGCTAGTGAGCTGTAACAAAATTTTTTAACCCCTGTATGCTTTTATATTCAGTAAAAAGCTCACCAGGACTTTTGTTTGTATGCCAATTCAAAATAAAGTTTTCTATATATATTGAAGTCTCAGCCTCAGGCCTGTCAGTTGTTTTGTCCAATATTTTTGTTTATTTCCAGGATACTCTTCTTCTTCTTCTTTGGGTATATATATATACAAAAATGATATTCAATCGACATCTGATGTTTACATATATATAGTTACGATACCGTTGTCAAGTCATTAAGGATTGCATACTTTGGTATTAATATTGATTCACTCATAGCCAGGGTCTTTGCATAGGAAATAAACACATTTATTCTAAAACCAGTTATTGGCATATGATACGGGTTATGACTCTTCTCATATATTTTATGATGGTATGATACTAAACCCCTTACGGGAGGGATTGTACTTGATTTTCAAATGATAGTTTCTTTTGTTACCTATTCCGACATCGGACTTGGACTTTTTTAGAACTGAGTTTTACTGTGCGTATTGCTATGTTTCTTTATTCTACATTGGCTGAAGGTATAGGTGTTAGTCTTGTATGTTTTTTAATTTTAGTTCATTTATATGTTTTGGAGTTTAGTTTGACGTCCATTTACACTGAACTAGTACACAATTTTATGTACGGGCCTTCTGAGGACCACCTCCAGGTGTGGGATTTTCTCGCTGCGTTGAAGACCCATTGGTTGACTTCGGCTGTTGTCTGCTCTTTGGTCGGGTTGTATGTCTCTTTGACGGAAGCAGGACAAATCGCCCCACTGGCAAATCGCCCCACACCAAATCGCCCCACTTTTTCACCAACTCGCCCCACTTTAAAAAATATCGCCCCAAACTGGTTTACCAACTCTCCCCACTTTTTAAAAAATCGCCCCACTTTAAAAAAAAATCGCCCAACTTGTGAAAAGGGTTAAATTCCGTTAATTTTACTCCTGCCAACTCGTCCCACTTAATGAAAAAAAAAGGTAAAATCTAGATGAATATATAATTTTCAGGTCTGCCAACTCGCCCCACTTAAATGAAAACTTATCTACACAGAATACATAAAAACGAAAATTTATTAGATTATTATTATTGAAATTAAATGATGTTTTACTTTCTAAAAATATAATTGTAAATACATTATTCATTATCATGTAATTTTCGTATTAATGGAGAATAACTTTATTCTTGTAAGCTTAGTTATTTGCATACACTTGAAAAGAAACCTGTTAATTGTTTCATAATCCGATATTTTATCATAACAATTGAGGGATTTCAATTTGTTTTTATATCACTAAACGGATTGGTTACTTTTGTCTTTGAATTAAGAATAATTAAACACTAACGAGCAATCAGTGAAAGGCAAATGTTACTTTCAAGTAAATATCAAAGAGAATGTCCATTCATTCTAGTCAAAGCAGGTTTTGTTGTTGTTGAAAAATTGATTGGTAAGTTTTGTTTATGGTTTGAAAACAATAAAAATTGAGAAATTTATGGCTTGGTTTCAAAATTATAAAAAGTAAAGTAGCCTCGATGAAAACTGGAATTATTACTCTCAGCTACAAGAATAAAGGAAATTTTATTCATAAGTGGGGCTAGTTGGTAGGCTTTAATTCTGTACATACTTTTATTTATCAGTGGGGTGAGTTGGCAGACATAAATTCAACGGCATTACTTCCTTTTTCATAAGTGGAGCGAGTTGGCATGACTCAATTCAGGATTTTTCTATTTTTCATAAGTGGGGCGAGTTGGCATGACTCAATTGAACAGGATTTTTCTATTTTTCACAAGTGGCATTCAAGTCGCAGAAATACTGATACTCACTTCTTTCTGCTTTATTTCAACAAAAAGAAAAAAACTACAAAAACTTGTTTATCTAAGGTTTTTATAGGTATTGATCAGAGGCAGATTTAGAGGGATTTTCAGGGGGCCCGGGCCCTCCCTTATGTGGAAAAAATTGATTGGTTGATTATATAGGGAATCACTGAAACATGACTGGAGCGGGCCCCCTCTTAAGCAGTCAGTGGGCCCCCACTTATGAAAATTTCTGGATCCGCCACTGTTGATTTTATTTATAAGTGGGGCAGGAACATAGATATACAACGGGATTGCATCTTTTTTTCATAAGTGGGGCGAGTTGGCAATACTGAATTCATCGTGGTTTATCTATTTGTCATGAGTGGGGCGAGTTGGCATACCTTATTTAGCGGGTTAATTTTCATAAGTGGGGCAAGTTATCCAACCTATTTTCAATGGGATTTTACCCTTTTTCATAAGTGGGGCGAGTTGGTAAACAAGAGTGGGGCGATTTTTTAGAAAGTGGGGCGAGTTGGTGAAAAAGTGGGGCGATTAGGTGTGGGGCGATTTGCCAGTGGGGCGATTTGTCATGGATTCCTCTTTGACATATAATTTCCCCATTTCCATTCTCAATTTTAAGCTTTTTCAAAATGATTAACTTTTACATTATTTCGTGGTCTTCTGTCTTTTATCTTATATTATTTATATTATGTAAAATTAAATAGTTAGATTACCAGAAAATTTAAAAAGTTCTCTGGATCTCAAAAGTTCATTATGTAACAGTTACGACAAGTCTGAAGAACTTCCGGGAATATAAAAAATAGGATTTCTCGGACTTTTGCCATATGTTAATTATATCGCCGGAAGTTGATTTTTGGATTGGAATGTTTTGACCAGCCAAAAAGATGTGATAAATAAGGATGTTTCACCTTTATCATCTACAGAAATACAAATTTGATATAAATAAGGTAACACATGAAAGTTTTCTCCCTGTCTTACACTCACACCATTATTGGTTACTGGAAATTACGCATGTAAAGATAGGAATAAGACATGCAGATGGTTACTAAGACAAAATAATTACACAGCAGACGGCGAACCGATAGATGATGACTGTAAAATCCCAAGACCATTGAAGATGTAATTAAAAGTATACACATCGAATTCTTAAATCAAAAATTATATGATTGCTTATTTCATCTAGCTTGTATACAATTATATAAGAAATTGTACACTCCTTACTGTTAAACATGTTTAAAAAGATGTACAATGTAATTGGACACAATTTTGCTGGAAATTATATGTCCTTTGGAATGCATAATACCAAAAATCATGAAAGTTTTTCAAACTTAACCAATAAACAAATGAAAGCTTTATTGATAAAGTCAGCAGGATAAATAATAATACATTGAGCTTGAAGGTACATGTACATACATTGGTAGTCCAAATAATTATCATTGATTATGACGTGTTGAAAGGTTTTTTCAATTTTTTTTCTGTGACTTCGTAGGAAGGCGTCACAGAAAAAAAAAATTAAAATAGCCTTTCAAGACGTCATAATTATTTAGTCTAATACCTTGGTCATGTTGGTAGCAAGTCATTTCGTACCCCACATTACCATTTCGTAATGATCAAAACCATTTGTACCCTATCGGCAACTGTATTAACCATTGTGTACCTCATAGACTATAATATATAATTAAAAACCAATTGTTCAGAGAACAATTAAAGTCTTTCCACAGCAATTTTTAAATTTATTGAAAAGAAGCTAGTTCATGTTTACTCAAAGTTAAATTGGCATCTTATCATCAGTTTCTTCATACTGATGCGATAAATACGTGGTTTCTATATACTTCTGAGTGAAATAAGGGAGATAATTAGCTACTTCCGGTGAACTTAATGTCACTTCCGGTCTCATATAATAGTTTCTTTCACACTGATTCCAAAAATATATAGTTTCTATATACTTTTGCTTGTAAACCAGGAGATAATTGGCCACTTCCGGTTTATCGAAAGTTATTTCTAGTCTTCAGTGATAAGTTAATGTATTAAAATAACAAAATATATGGATTCCTAGTACTTTTCCATGAAGAAAGTGCAAAAATGGCTACTTCCGGTTTTCTCAAGGTCACTTCCGGTTGTCATTTTTCAAGGTCATGTGTCATCCAACCTTTTGTAAAAGGTCATATGGCTTTATAATTATATAATGAACCAAGTTGAAGTAAAAATCAATTAACCTTATAATTGGACATTTCAGGGGCACTTACTCCTATAAGATGCCATTAGATTGTTTCAGACCAAATGTAAAATATCTTCATTACAATAAAGCAAACATTTTGCACTTGTTGTTTCATATATATCTTTAAAAGTGTTTGAGAAAATGCAAAAACAAGGAAAAGTCAAAATTGAGAACTTGACCTTGACTTGACCTTGACCTCATTTTCTAAGTTAGGACCTAGGGACTTCAAATAAAAAGATTCCAGGGTGATACCGTTAACGGTTAATGAGTTAAAAAAACATAAAGACAAATTTATTTCTTAAAGGTAGATAACTCCTTTAAAATTTCATCGGATCACTTTGATCCAAATTAGCCAAAAATTCCTGAGGATGTAACGAACAATTTAGAAAAAGAATTTTGTAGATATCTTTTTTTGTTACGAAGGAGATGCACACACTTGATAAACAGTGAATAGGGAGATAACTCTTACAAAGAAAATTGTTCGGCTTAGAATGGGTGAAAATAGAAAGCGCAGAAACTGTATGATACTATATAAGAAATATCTTAGCGACATATTGTGAAACAAAAATTTTACGCGATAACAAAATTTGGCGGATAATAATCAGAACAAATACAATAGGTCTTTCCACAGAAAAGTGGAAAGACCTTATTAGTATTTTTAATCATATATTTGCAAATCTTTGAAATTTTTCCCCAACATCGGTATTGGAGATTTTGTTAAACAAAAATATATAATTAGAAAAAGGAAAGACTGGTTATACTGGCCCATTATAATTTTTTTTAAATGTTTTATATTTAATGCATACCATGCATACTGGTCCATTCAAAAAACTAAAAAAAAGCTATTCTTTTTTACATGTTTTAGAGTATATGTAAATACATGTAGGTAACGATATGTTATTTATCATGTTTATAAAATTATAAAACATTTTGAGATGATTTTAATTTAAAAAAAAATATTATAGCATAAGTAAACTCTTCCAGCAGTTTTTTGAGCTCTAAAAATATGAGGCTGATTAACCAACAATGGAATAATTATCTGCTACTGTTTTATAGTTACAATGTACTAACATTGGTTTTTTACCAGGAAGTGTAGTGAAAAATAGTAAGGGACACAAGCTGATATTCACACACGAAAAAAGCCACAAAATGGCATATAAACAAACCTTCTGTGAGGTACGAAATGGCATACATCATGTACATATAAATCTGTCATATGGACTTTTTTTTATTAAGGTACAACATGACATGCAAATAAATATCCCATGAGGTACAAATTGGTATACATACATGTACAAAAATTCCATGAGCTATGAAATGGCATACATACATGTATTATTCCATGAGATATGAAATTACATACATCAATGATCATGTACATGTATAAATATTCCATAAGGTACAAAATGGCATGCATATGAAAATTCCATTAGGTACAAAATGGCATACATCATGTACATATAAATATTCCATGAGGTACGAAATGGTTAGGGCACCAAATGACTATAATTCCATACATTCATGATATGTACATGATGTAAGACATTCATGCAAAAACTCTTCTCATGAAAACAATACAAAGGAGACAACACATGCATTGACATGCATGTACAGCATCTACAAGGCAAATATAAAGCACACTACATGTATTATGAATATTAAGATAATTTAAGCTCGTATAAAGAATGCACAGCACGTATCTCAAACAAAGCACTTAAAAAGAGCAGCTAAAGATTCATCAATTCAACATGGCCAAAGAGGCTTGAAAGAGAAAAGGAGAAGCTGATAACACCATGACAAAAAAAAAAGATTTTGAAAAGACAATCATATACAACCACTTTTTAGAAAACCAAAGAAACAGGAATCCACCAAAAACTGGGGGTGATCTCAGATGCACCAGAAAGGTCAGCAGAACCTCTCTACCTGTGACTTATGTTGATCATGAGTACTTACTTTTAAAATTTAGCCCCCACCACCCCTGAAAAAAACAAAAATAAGAACAAGACAAATCCATTGATTATGCATCTTACAATACAATAATGGATTGATCAATACATGTCTATGTCTAACCCTATGAAATCACCAAATACAAAACCTTCAGCACATTTTAAATCTCTAACCCTATTTAGACTTAACCAAATGAAAAAGTTTACATGCAAACTAGATTTTCCAGGACGACAAACACACTTTTAGACAACACAGACCTAGAAAAATACAATTCAACACTGAAAACTAAGGCAAAAGTAACATGAACCCTTTAAGAAAAATCTATGAGTGACATCAGATGCCCTTTGAGCTGTTCCATCATCTTGTTCATGATAAGAGCAATGTAAAAATACAGTGATGTCACAACAAGAGAGACAAAAAGCACATCTAAAATATTCAACATGCTCAAATATAAAAATAAGAAGATGTGGTATGATTGCCAATGAGACAACTCTCCACAAGAGACCCAAATGACACAGAAATTAGCAACTATAGGTCACTGTACGGCCTTCAACAAAGAGCAAAACCCATACCCCATACTCAGCTATACATGCTATAAAAGGCCTCGAAATGACAAATGTAAAACAATTCAAACGAGAAAACTAACGACCTAATTTATGTAAAAAATAATGCACTGATTATATATGCGTCTTACAATATTGGATTAATGCATGTCCATGTGTAACCATTAGAGATCTGATCAATGCATGTCCATGTGTAACCATTAGAGATCACCAAATACAAAACCATCAACACAGTTTAAATAATAAAGCATACTTTTTAAAAACATGATAAAGCAAATGTAAAAAACAAAATATGCACAAAGACATGACAGAGACATTAAACATAAGCAGTTAAAACAGAAAATATAGAAATAATAAATGGATCTTGAATTTCACATACATGTATTTGAACTATACATGTACAAAGCACAAAGCATGAAATATAATTATGCATTATGCTTATAATGCGTTTCAGATGTAAGCACCCCAATGCAATGTGTGGAAGGTTCTCTACATGAAAGTACAAAAAATGCATTCTGAAATTATATAACATGTATAATGAGATTAACATTTTTTTCTCTCAGAACTATTGATAAATAAATATATGTCACATTAAATAGCTAAAACTGACTATTAATAGTAAATGAATAAATGATATTAGTTTTACCATGTTTACTAGGTTAATTTATAATTAGACAAATAAAACAATGCATTTGCATTAAATTCTATAGTATATATACTGAGTAAATGTTTGTAACTAATTGATTTTAACAAAACATTTGAATATACAGGTTGTATGCAATTTAATTCATTTTCTTTTCATTATTCTTCCTTCACTTGCATCAGCTGAATTCATTACTGTTTTCATTGTACAGTGAGGTTTTAGTTCAAATCATACCTGCATCAGATTCGTCGTTAACTTAAAAATTTTGCAAATGATCATTGATGGCTTACAAAATTTTCCTGAGTGCACATGTAATTTAGAAACTTTTGAAACACAGCAGATCAATAACATGAATAAGAAGGCAATATAACACATTTATTTCCCTTCCCTCAGGGAGATATTATATAAATAACACATAGCTGAGAGGGTGATAGAGCAGATTGGTACCCGAGAAAACATTGTCAGCTGCGGCGAAGCCAAGGTTGACATTTGCTTTTTCAAGGGGTACCAATCTGCTCTATCACCCTCTCAGCTATGTGTTATTTAATTTATTTTACTGAATGTCCTATAATTATTGTCTTTTACAGATGAATTTTATTCAAAAGTATTTTCTATGACGTCACATACATAACAACGTTACGGGGATTAGAAGTGAAGCAAGATGTTTTGTTTTTTATTTTGACAGTCAAATACTAGAATCTGAGCCAAAACGTAGAACTTAAGCATTGTCTTAATATAAATAACTTGGTGTAATTTCAATTCATTGTCCTTTAAATTATCAATTTTTGATTGGTCTGGACGAGAGGGTGACATTCAAAAAAATTGTCACCCGCTCAGCCATGTGATAGAGTAAATTTACACCCTCGTATTAGCCAATCAAAATATGGCATTTTTACGTGAAGTATAATAAAAAGATTTGTTCACCCCTAATAATTTGTATTTCCCATTTAAAATTACATGTACATTAACTGGGCACAATGTCACACAAGGTAGTCCTGATGTTTAGAGAGGAATATAAAGTTTTGTTCAATGTCTCAACCAATCAAATGTTGATTTTGCTATCAATGTCTACATACAGTGGAATAAAATGTTTTACTGCAATAAACGTGTCAAACATTATTTACAGATAGTTTTAACCACTATTTAATGTTTCGTGTTTAAAATTGAAATTGTTCAGTGTACACTTGTGACCAAACTTGAAAGTCAAGAAGCTTTTTAATAAAGACAATTTTTAAATAGAAGACCTCGGTGGCAGGGGGCAGGGGGCTTGTTACATTTTGTTGTAAATTTCTAAAAGCCCTTATTTCATACAATTTTGTACCTGTTTTTTTGTGTTAATAAAATAATTAGGTAAGCAATTCAGGCACTTGGCAGCCTCTAGTTTTGAAATTAAGGTTATTAAAGTTAAGTATTGATTAGATGAAAATGCACATTAATAAGGGATGTTAAGACAGCAAACCAACATTTATTAATAAGGTATTACCAGAAATATTTTATATATACATGTATATGTGCATTCCATCCTTATATTGTCACATTTGTATACTACATGTATTTGCAGTTAGGACAAAATTAAATATCAATAAATATTGAAATCATATCAACTGTAAACAATCAACATGATCAAGAACTAATTTTGACATCAGGTTTTTTATAATTCATGATAAACAAAGAGACAGGGAAACAAGACTATATGAATTATATAATATTGGTCTGTCACAGCCAGTGTAGACTGGAATCTCTTGATGACTAATATTGATTGATTTCTTCAGGTGTTCTACATTAATCTTATTGATTCTAATGTCAATGGACAGGTTTATTTTTAACCTTATTGATTCTAATGTCAATGGACAGGTTTATTTTTAGATTGATTCGTAATATTTGTCTTCATTAGTAATTGGATAATGTCATGATAATATTCTTTAATAGTAATAATACTATGTGAATGTACAAATTTGCTTGACAATAAAAAATCTCTCTGACTTTGCATAAAACATAGAGAAAAACTCAAAAAGACAGATTGGGACATGGCTTACTAAATATACTTGACACCACAGAAAACTTGATAAATGACCAACAACCAATCTGTCCAAGAACATGAAGAAAGAAAAGAACTTTTCATTTACAACATAAACCATTCTTCTGTTAGCCAAGGTCTTTTAACATTGTTCAGAAGACTTCTTCAATGAACTTTAGCCCTTCAATTTAATATGGATCAGCTGCTGGACCTTAGATTTACTTTAATCTAAGAAATTTTCATTTCAACAGGCTCAAGTCAAACTCAGAATAAAAAAAAAAATCAGAACAATTTGATTTAGAAATAGATTCTTCATTATATTAAAAATCTTCACATTAAAAAATATAACTAGAATTAATTATTATTAGTTGGAAATTTGAGTTATTTTCCTTTTGCTTGCTTTTTATAGTGCATTCCACAAACAATGTTCCATTCAATATCATTAAAAGAAAGAAGAAATGGAAAGAAAAAATATTATTTTGATTAACACATGATTAAATCATATGTTAATGAACAGAATTTATTCAACTCAGAAATTCACTGATTTTTTTGCAACAGTATGTATACATAGAAATAGAGAAAATACAAAATCTGACACAAAAAAAAATATAAGAAAGAACTGCCCTTCAGAACACAAGTACTATTAAAAATAACCCCTGGTTTTCTGGAAATCTTAAATTAGTATACTATGGAGTGCATTAATCCTCAATTTTTAATTCAAACTCAATGACAAGTAAATTTTGGCTCAAAATGGTCTAAAAATATTTCTCTTTCACCAAAAGTTTCATTTCTACAAATTTGTTGGTTAGTTTAAGTAAATAACATGAATAATGACATCAAAAGCACTATTTTTTGTCCGAGTAGGGCTACTTTTACATACGTTCCATACGTTCCAAATTGGAGGGTGTGAATTGGTGGTCTGACACCAAATCTACCTCAATTGGTCTCTAGTTGACAATAGTGGACAATGGTATATATCTTTATTTCTCAACAAACCAAATGGTGGATAGTTCTCATTGGCAATAATACCAAATCTTATTTTATAATACTCCTGCAAAGAAAACAAAATATCCTAAGTGCTGAACATACATGCTACCATATCTTAAGCTTACTTTACAAAAGTTAATTTGTGAATTTAACATTTAGTAAATTTTATTTTAACTTCAGGTCCACAAAATCTTAAAGATGGGTTAAATACACATATAGGTGTAACAGTAGGACAACATGACCACTGAAGATCTACTTATTCCAGGTGTGGTCATCAAAGAAAGATGGAAAGTGGTTAGTATTCATCAACCTTAGAATGTTTTATACCCATATTACATCATCTTGCCAATTTTCTTTTCACATGTATAAAGTAAAAGTATTAAGATAACGACTTTGGAAGATCTGCCTAATCCATGAAGTCAGCAATACAATAACTGATGTGCCTCTGATAGAAAATGTGCAATGTTCAATGCTGCAAAAGTGATTAAATAAATCATTAAGGATTTGTAGGTATTGGTGAATCTCAAATTTAAATATTCAGCAAAATACAAATTTCATTTAACTTGTATGCAGAAATTGTCAAAACTACAAAATAAATTTGTTTACAAAAATATGCTTTTAATAAATCCATGAAAATTGGTACCAACAAAAACATGAAAATCCACAGTAATACTGTTATGTATTTCATGATTTTTGCCAAGCAATCAAGATTGGTGCCAATGTGTTTGAGGAGATATATGAAGGAGATGAACTAGTAACCAAGGAGCCATAAGTAAAGGGAGATAAATGAACCATATATTATATTTTTTTCAGACCAAGAAGATTGGTGGTGGTGGTTTTGGTGAGATCTATGAAGGGATTGATCTAATTACCAAGGAGTCTGTGGCCCTTAAACTGGAATCTTCTCAACAGGCAAAACAAGTCCTTAAAATGGAAGTTGCTGTATTAAAAAAGCTTCAGGGTAAGGAAACAGTTTATAGGTCAAACATTCTTCAGTTACATCAAAGCCAGTTTATAGTTTCAAATTGTGTGTGCTTTCCTCAAGTGTCATTGAATTTATCCATAAAGTATAAAAATCAGGAGATGTGGAATGATTGCCAAACTTTTCAGCAGAGACCAAAAGACGTTGATGTAAGAAACTATAGGTCAATGTACGACCTTAACCAATGAGCAAAATCAATACCATAAACTATTAAAGGCCTGACATCACAAAATGTACAACATACATACATGTATCAAACGAGAAATCCAATATCCTGATTAATGATAAAACATTAAAGGAAAATCAGAGAGTATGACAGATGGCAACCACTTAATATACAGTCTGACTGTGGACAGGCACATACAGAACATGGCAGAGTTAAATATATTTGCTAGAGCTCTACTTTCCCAAAACCAGAGACAGTGGTATAACTGTAACACAAGATCAAACTTTGAAAATCTGTTGGAAAGTGCTTGATAAGCCAAAGCATAAAAAACAAACCACAAAAGACTTATCTAGTTGAAAGATAAATACTGTCTTGAACAAAATTCTTAATGAACAATGTTATATTAAGCATGTTAAGAATGTACTTAGGTGAAATTAAAAAAAATCTAGAATTTAAGATTGATACTATAAGTCAGAAGAACATTAATTACTTATGGAACAAAATAAGCTAAAAATAATGGAGCTCCTTTTCGAGATATTAAAGGTTTAAAAATGGCGGGAAAAAGCTGATTCAGACTTTTACCTTATATTTGCATTGGTTTTATTTGAGTTTCAAATTGAAAGAAAAGAAATCTAGATTCTGCTTAAATTTTGGTAAATGACCTAGCTTTTATCATGTTTATTAGCTATATTGAAGACTTATATGAAAAGAAAAATGGGTGTTATGGGGGAAATTATTTTACACTATCGTAGGAAAAAAAACAAGGAGTCCCAACATCTGACAATAATTCCTAACCTCACCTAACATCCTAAGTAATCCTCAAGTCACTCCAGAAATTATTTAAAGTGTCACAACTAAAGGGTGTTATTCCATAGATCAATGATTGTAATCAGCTTGTAGCTTATGTACCATGTGTCACAGATTTAATTCCTCAGTGGACCTACATTTTATTTTTTGTGACTTATTTAGAAATATGTTTTAAAACAATTTTTATAATTTTGTTGACATATTTATAGGTCGAGATCATGTATGTCGATTTATTGGCTGTGGTAGGAATGATAAATACAACTATGTAGTGATGACATTACAAGGGAAGAACTTAGCGGAACTGAGACGGAGTCAATCTCGTGGATGTTTCTCACTGAGTACTACACTGAGACTTGGAGCACAGATATTAAAGGCAATAGAGGCTATACATGAAGTTGGTTTCCTTCATAGAGATGTCAAACCAGTATGTATTATCTTCACTTCCTAAAGGGACAGGTGAACCCATGGAAGTATTTAAATCTAGAGTTTGGTTTAGATTATAACATTAAAACTTAAACATGCTGACAATCTTGAAATATTGTGATACTTTGCAAGGGTTGAAATTGATTTAAATTTGAAAGGTCCAGGACATTTAAATTTGCAAGTGAATGGTCCCCTTAAGAAAGTCCTGTATAAAACATTAGTATACAACATGGGAGGTTCAATTTACTTGACTTTTGTAATTCGAAAAATTAAAAGTCTCCTTTAAATGACCTATTTGGACCACAGACCCACACTGCTTTGGCTCCAAAATAACAAAAAAATTGGCAAAAATACCTGGCTCTGGCAATTATGATATTGTGAGAGCTTCATCTAGTCTATCACAGCTCTTGAAGAAATAATTTGATTTAATCAGCACCGCACTATGCTGAATTATTTACATGGAAAGTTATATGATTTATTAGCTGAAAGATTTTATTCATGTCATCAAACCAGTAGACATCTTAAAATAAAAAAAAATATTTCTGTTATACATTCTGAGGCGCGATCTTCACGCTTAACCACAGGCCCAGCAGCCCAGGCTTGTGAAATTGCTTCAGGGCCTGTAAAAATCATCTCTACAGGCCAACAGAATCTTATTAAAATTTTCCAAAAATTGAGTTCCGGGCCTGTAGATTTAAAAGTTTATCGTGAAGACTGTAGAGTGAGTGAGGCATTGTAATAGGTTATGATTTTTATAGGGGCTGAGGTAAAAGTTGTTTTTTTTGGTAAAAAGAAAAAAAAGTAAAGATTGAGGAACATGAATCCCTCTCAAAACCAGGCTTAAAACAGGTGCTCTGGAAGGATTAATCATCTTCATGATGTTGGTATATTTCAAAGGAAATGTCCCTATAGTATAATTATTCTACCTGTGTAATCAGAACACAGTTTAGACAGGTTTTACTGTAAAAGAATCATAACTGTCCTGATTTTATGATATCAATTTATTCTTTAATCAGTACATTTTATTTTGCAGTCTAATTTTGCAATGGGAAGACTCCAGAAAGACTGTAAGAAAGTGTTTATGTTAGATTTTGGACTAGCTCGACAGTATACTACAGCCACAGGAGAAGTACGGCCTCCTAGGACTGCAGCAGGATTCAGGGGAACTGTCAGATATGCTTCGGTTAATGCTCACAAAAATAAGGTAAATAAAAATTAAATCTGTTAGTTTTGCTTTGTTGAACCTTTCATGTATGTTTGTTTATGCTTACAAAAGTAACGCTAGAAGTTATGGTTCTTTATATATACATGTACATTTGTACATCTTATCCTTGTTTTTTTCGTGGGTTGTTAATTTTATTGATTTTAATGCAGAAACTTTTCGCAATGGGGTTAAATGTATGCTTTGAACAATAAGTTAGTCCTTCACACCAATATTGTTACTTTCGCAAACTATTTGTGCTGGGAGATATATTTTTCTTATTTTATGGGGTTGTGAAATAATAAAAATAAACCCAACCCAAAATTTTCCAAGTTTACTTAGACAGTTTTGTCATAACCAGTTTTCTATCACATAATTGAATATAATCCCATGAAATATTACTTCAATCAGACAATCAGACTTGAATCAGTAAAACCTTTGAGCTTTTTAATATTTTTCAATCTGTTGTTCTGGAGTTCAATGGTTTCGGAATAATGTGGAGAGGTTTAGTATGACGTCCATTTTCTATGAACTAGTACACATGTTTGTTTAGGGGCAAGCTAGCGCTCAAGCCCGCCTCCAGGTGCGGGAATTTCTCACTGTGTTGAAGACCCATTGGTGGCCTTGGGCTGTTTTCTGCTCTTTGGTCGGGTTTCTTGTCTTTTTGACACACTCCCTGTTTCCATTCTAAATTTTATTATTATACACCATTTTCACTACAGTTTATTTTGTATTTTTATTTGCAGGAGATGGGCCGCCATGATGATTTGTGGTCACTGTTTTACATGTTAGTAGAATTTCTATCAGGACAGTTACCATGGAGAAAGATCAAAGACAAAGAACAAGTTGGGACAATGAAAGATAAATACGATCACTCGTCACTTCTGAAAAACATGCCAAACGAATTTGCCACCTTTCTTGAACACATATCTAAGTTAGAATACTTCGACAAACCTGATTACCAAATGTTACACACGTTACTTGATCAATGTATAAAGCGTAAAGGAATAAAGGAATCGGATGCTTATGACTGGGAAAAAATCTACTCTGATGGTTCGGTAGCTACGACTATAACAACATCACCTCCGATAGGAATTAAACAGACTCATGGACAGGGGTAGATATATATATATATATATATATATATTAATTTTTTATTGACTGAATGTTATATTCAGTTAGTTGTAAATGTGTTGTGCCTTCATTATGCATTACTTATCATTGTATATATGTATTTTGAATCATGAAAAAAATAATTGCTTATTTGTGCAATTTAGTTCAGCTCTCTGTTGATATTAAGTTTCCAGTTACTAGAAGATATATAACACTGGGCCACTTAAAACATTGACAGGGCTACAATTAGAAATTTTGAATTATATCCCTGGGTATTAGTGCTGTTCTGTGAAAACATACATGATACCCAGGGAAGGCACTTTGAAAATTATTCTTACACTTCACTGAACAAAAACTACCATCCATAGATAAGGTCTGAAGTGCCTTTCATGGGTCCCAAGAACAGCCATAAACATGTTTGAATAATAAGAAGGAAACTTTGGGTATATGGCAATGAGACAGCAACCCAATGATACAAATAAACGAAAGACATGTAGCAGTCAGTAATCAATCTTTAACACATATCATGTATATGTATAATAATATACACTGTTCAAAAGGTAAATTTCCAATTCCACAATATTAGTATTGACATGGTTCACAAATAAGAATAAATCCAAAGTTAATGGTCAAAGTTAAACTTCAAAATGTACATGTGTTTATATATATATTATTATACCAATGTTAATTTTCACTGTATCTTTCTTTTTAAGGCTTCAACCAGGAGGACCTCACACCCCAGGGCATGGAGCAACAGAAGCCATGGATGAAAATCTTAGTCAGGACGAGGTTGATGACAAAAAAATCAAAGATTATATCATTGACAGTAAAAATATTGATAACAAATTACGTGAAGAACATGGCATTATGGAAAACCAGGAACCGAGAGGCGTGCTGGAAATACAGGAAAAACATCAAGTGGAAGAATTAGTCAAAGAAGAAACTGTTGAAAATATCGCAAAACCTGAAACTAATATCGATATACTGGCTGAACGGTTAAATAAGATTATGAAAACTGAGGTTAAAGTTGAGGAACAAAAGATGGACGTGGAAATTACACAAGATAATAGAGAGAGTATTCCACAAAAAACACCAGCCAAAAAAGTTATGATAATGCCTGAAAAAGATATAGAGAATGATGATAATGATAAACATAGGGATGAAACTTTAGGAAAAAGAAGGGATTCTGGGATTGATCATATCAGTAAGGCAGCCATTACTTTTGCTGTCATGGAAACAGAAGATAAAACACATGATGGAGTCCTTGATGAGAATGCTACTCGAGCAGCACCATACACAGTGGCTAGTCAGTGGCAGTCGGCCTTTGGTTCTAGCTCTGATAGTTCTAATGATGAGAGTGAAGGTGATAATAATGCTAAAGCCAAAAAGTTGTCTAAACATAGAATGAACACTTTAGCGGATGAGGAGGAATGGCGACCTGATAATGCTTTACGTAATTCTCTTGTGATACAGGATGAAACTGATTTTCTTAAAGGATCTCTGAACTTCTTAGACGATGAATTAAATGAAAGTGATAGTCAAGGGAAAAGAAAAGATTCACATATGAAAACTAGTTCATCATTGGGACATATTGGTGATAGATATTTGTTGAAATCTAGTCCCGGGAAAGGAGCTCTTAAAGACAAAAATACTCTAATGTCGTTATTAAAACAAGGAGGTAGGTCATCACCCCTGGCATTCAAAGAGGGTTTATTACCTTCCTTAGGCCAGTTTAAAGTGGGTCCGTACGGTAAACCACCAACACCACAATCAAAAAGGGACAATTCACCAGCAAAGAAAGGAGCTAAAAGGGAAGAAAATTCAGGTGTTAAAATGAAACGATCAGAAAGTGAAGGGAATAAATTAGATAAAAAAGACAATTTAATGAAGTCTTTATTGGAGGAAAGTGATAAGTTTTCTATTGTAAAGTTTGACAATGATAAGCCTGACATTGCTCAAATGGACATTGATACAATAGACCCAAAACCTGAGATTAAACCTAGTCAACAAATCACTGCCCCTCCTCGTCACAAAAGTGCAATAGATCAACCGGATCAAATTACCTCTAATCCTTACAGTACCTTTGTAGATTTCAATTCTATAGGCAAACATTCGGAGCCTAGTACAAAACCAAAAATATCTGTCGATAAAACAATTAATCCAGTCAAATTTGATATTACAGACACTTTAAAACCAGTGGAAATAAGTGTAAATAAAAGTGGAACTAATATTACTGATAAAACTACGGATTCTATTTTAAGATGTATTGACGATAATGTGCCGACAGACAAAGTAGGTCATGTGACTGATGTATCATATCAGTCACCTTTATCAAATCTCTTGTCAAATCCTGGACCACAGTTACACATACCCACTAGTCTAGAAATTATAAATAGTCTCCCATCATCGCCAAAGAGAAGACAACTTCCTGTAATACAACAAGATACTGAAAGTAGGAAAATAACAGTTAGTAAAAATACTGAGTCATTAGAAAAAGCTGTGAGTAAAAATAGTGAGTTGCTTAATAAAGTCAACAGTAAGAAGAGTGGCTCAGTTGAAAATTTAGTCAAGAAAACCGATGAATCATTAGAAAAAGTCCTGAAGAAAAATACAGAATTGTCTGAAAAATTAGTCCATAAAAAGTTTGAACTACCCGGGAAGGTAGTTAAACCTGCTGTACCTAAGAAACCTGCAATAGAAATAAAATTAAATTTAGATGAATTTGAGTCTTCTAATCAGACTTTAAATATCATGGATATGGATGATCATTTAGATTTAGACGATTTTGAATCAGCGAAACATTTATTTGATAGTGGAGCTAAGATAGATTTAGACAATCTTGATTCCGATCGTCAAAGTTCACATAGTTCACATCATGACGATAAAGCAATAAACAAAAACAAAAAGGAGACTAAGCCTGTAATTTCTAATCTCAAATCTGAATCACAACGGGGGAAAGTTAGAAAACATAACAAACTTCATTTTGGAGTAAAAGATGGTAAATTAGTCAGGAATACCATGTCCCCCATACTGGAAGATCCAAGTAAATTAGTAAAGGATCAACTTAGGTCATCTTCATCAAAAACATCAATTAAAAAAGATTCTAAAGAAAGTGACTCCAAAGAAAAATTAAAAAGTGATTCCTCGAATGAGAGATTAAGTAGGGCTGATAAGCCACCAGACCAAAAGCGTTCAAATTCAGTTAAACTTAAACGTTCCTCTTCTGCATCACGATTGGATCGCACAACGAAAGATTTAGAAGATGTTAAAGACAAGCTGTCAAGTTTATCACCAAACCCACCGGATGCTGATCGTCTTCCTAAACCACCACCTGGCCATGCGCCAAAAAATGCTGCAGTATTAGCAAGGTAAGATAAAGAAATATAATTAAGTCAAGGGATTCACATGTACACCTTATCACTTTTCTAAGGATCCACTTGTACACCTTTCACTTTTCTAGGGATCCACTTGTACACCTTTCACTTTTCTAGGGATCCACTTGTACACCTTTCACTTTTCTAGGGATCCACTTGTACACCTTATTTACATCTTATCACTTTTTATTCCTCTTCCATGTCCTATCTGTCACTCTAATTTAGACTTTAAGAAATGTTGATATCAAGGATTACATCATCAAATGTTTTTAACCTTGCTTCAATGGCTTTCCAGCATGAATAAGGAATGCAATAATGTTTGAACTTATGTTGATTATTTAGTCTGTAAGTATCAAATGGTACTGTTGGGTTGCATGTTAAACTGTACATAGAGTATAAACAATATATATTTAATGAGTCGTGCAGTTAACAATTTTTAAATGTAGAAATTGTAATTTTGCAAAATCTTCGTCATAAATTTGACCAAAATCAGTCATGGTAGAAAAAGATGTGAAAAATACCTAGGGGACATAACTGGATCAAAACACACTGAAATTTTCAAGAGAGACAATTTGCAATCATAAAATGATAAATGTGTAACGGTAAATTTATACTTGTAAATATTGAACATGTTGCAAGTGATTTGAAATTTTGGTGTAGAGGTCGATTCAGTGACTGATTATAAATTGTTTTCTTATACCAAGTTTTATGGTATTTTGTATGCCCGACCTAGGGGCATTATGTTTTTCGGTCTGTGCATCTGTTCATCCATAGTCTGTCCATCAGTCTGTACCGCTTCAGGTTGAATTTTTGGTCAACATGGTCAAGGTAGTTTTTGATGAACATGAATTTGAAGTCCAATCAACTTGAAACTTAGTACACATGTTCCCTATGATATGATCTTTCTAATTTTAAAGCCAAATTAGAGTTTTATTCCCAATTTCACGGTCCACTGAACATAGAAAATGATAGTGTGAGTGGGGCATTCATGTACCATGGACACATTCTTGTTTATTTTATATCAAGAATATTCAAGTAAAACAGTTTTAATGATCATAAATAAAGATGTAACAGGATGTCTCATTATTTCTATTTCATGTCTATGTAAATTTTATTTTTTAAGTTATTCCATATATACTGCATGTTAAGTATATAATTTATTTCATATAATAGCTCGACTGAATCGTTGTAAGTATAATCGTAAGTGTGGTTTTATATTTCTCTATTTTTCAATTAGTTAATCAGTCACACTGTGTCCGTATATTCTGTAATAGAGAGATTGAATAAGGGCTATTTTTTTATGCCTTACTATCCCTACTCCCCACCCCTAAAAAGTAAAAGCGGCAATCCCATTCAAGAGCTACTGTGGATTCATAAGTATTCATGGTGTACTTATTATAATGGATTTTGTTGGTTTGATGTACGATGAATTTTAAGTATTCAACAAAATACATGTTTCAAAAAGACTTTATTTATTTGTCAAAACCAAGATACAAAATATCCATTAAAACAGAATTTTCGTAAATCGTAAAAATTGGTAAATGAATCCACAGTAATAATCATAATTTGTAATTTACATATATCTTGTAAATCCTCATGTACCTCTCCTGTATATATTTTGTATAGCTTTGCTTTTTATGTTTTGCTTATTGCATGTTTTTATTTTATTTTGCAGACGTCGTCGCTACAAAATGGCCTCCACAAACACAAGTCCAAGAGAACCTTCCTCGCCCAGGGCTCAATAAAAATGGTGGACCATTTCTGCTTAATATGTGATCACAATTCAAAATGTGATAAAACTGATTTGAGCCAGTCTTGCCTTAAAATGCAAGACATATGTTCACAGCATGTGTTCAGTTTTAACTCCTGCATTTACAATGTATTAAGATCTGTAAAAGTGATTTTAAGTATTGTTTTGAAAGATCTGTATTATTTTATATCAAATTTTATGAGTCATTCTGGTATAGGCCTAGTCTATTTGTATGTTTTGTATGAATACAAAAGGTATTTGTAAATGCCACTGCAACCAAGAAACTCTAAAATACTTCAAAAAGATAGTACTTGTAAAATTTTTTACTTTTTTTCCCCATAATTAAAACACTTTACAGCTCATGTTGATCTTGGTTAAATTTTTCACCTGTCAAAAGTGGGCGAGCAGCCAACACATTTCAACTCAAGTTTTGATGTCATTATAGAAAATATTGATGACCAATGCTTTAAATTGTTCTTGTAATTTAAATGATAAAAGTAGAGTCAGCATGTCCAATTTATAGGAAGGTCAAAGTTGTAAAGGTCAAAGTTTACCAACCCTTTGCACCTCTCACGTGGACTAGTTGAAAAAGCAAAATCAGCATGTTTTATCAAAGTTCCATGAACTTAAAGTGAAAGGGACGAATTCAAGATGAAATAGCTTGGGGTTGTTTTGAACAGTATAATAAATTTGACAACAGGGTGTTAAAAATTCATATTAAGGTGTCATTATTCCAGGACAGCATTTTTCAAATAATAAAAGAAAAAAAGAATATAAATTTTCTTTCAGCATGTAATTAAAGCTGCTGCCTTTTTAAAAAAAATTAAAACGTCTGACTGAACTATAAGCAATGAAAAATAAAAATAAATTCTGGCAAGGATACTATGTATAATGCAACAATTCATTTAAAACGTCATATGCTTTATATGAATGTTTACTTAATGTTTAACCCAGTGCTGTTAGTTGTAATTGCAAGATATCTTACATCAAATAAGAATGGTGTATTACTCATTACCGTCAAACAAAGTAGGATGCACATGTTTTGTTTCATTTTGCAATTTGTGTTAATGTCTTTCAGTTTATAATGAAGCATTGTGTATGGTTGTTTATTATAGATTATATACTTCTACCTCTTTTTTCAATCAGAATTTAGCAATACTTTTCTTTAATTCTCCCAAAAAAATACTTACCGGTATATAATGTAGGGGATAACCCAGTTTTTGTAATTCAAAATGTATATATACTTTAGAAACATTATATTTTGAGGGTTTAAAATTTCATAGTTTTGTCTCAAAATTGATTTTCTAGGGATTTATTTTTTTATTGTTTTCTAGATATGAAAGTAATTTTCCTTAAACATGTTAAAGGGTAAAATTTCTTTGCGATTCTAATTATATAGAAAACATCTGTCCTCAAAATAAACCAAATAAAGTCCCCAAACAATGCCAATTTTTAACCTGGGAAACCAGTTTCAATTGCACTTTGGATAAGCAAAGTCATTGATGGTGGTTTGCAAAAATTAGACTACAGATCTGAATTTATCAGGGGAATGGATTAATGACTTCAATTTTAATTTTATTCATTCAGATTGACTGTAATTGAAGGCTCATAATTAAATGATCATTTTACAACTTAAAATTTTTAAGACCCAAAAAATTTGGTTATGAATCGAATAATTTACAAGATTTGTTGATATTTGGAAAAGACAAATTTAAGTAGCATTAATAAAAATGTTTACTTTATCGGCTTCTAAACATTGGTCTATTTTTAGTGTAGAGGTTGGTGGTTGTCTTGGTAGTACTGTCCAGTATTTTGGTAATTCATATTATCTTTTATATATATGATTGATTGGTTGATTGATAGTTGGTGTTTAATGCCACTTTCAGCACTCTTGTCAGCCTTTTTTTTATTGGTGGAGGAAGGCAGATTGCCAAGAGAAAACCACAAGCCTTAAGCAGGAATTTATTTCTGAAAAATAAAGGATTTGAAAGTATTGCTAAATTCTGATTTAGGAAATAGTAGCTAAATTCTGTGATTATTTTGTTTGTAGAAAAGTGCTAATATGCTTTTTAACAGATCTTCCTTGTTTTTGTTCATAGTAATTATGTTTACATTGTATATTTAAGATAATGAAAAACCATTTATTATTTTCAATAGGAAGAGTTACTTCCCCTAGTTAAAAATCAAACAGACTGTGTTACACAGTTGGTTAAAAACAGTTCAGATCATGTTTTGAAATTAATATGATTTAATGTCTAGGTTAAGTTCAGATTTTTTGTTATTTTTAGGGGTTTTATAAGGTTTATTACTCTTTGAATGAATTGAGAACTTTTTATTTTGAACTAAAGGTAAACAAACATGTTTTAAAAGAAGAATTTCACAATACATTTAAAGAATTGGTTTTCAGAATATAAAGTGCAGAAATACAAAATTTGCTGTTTGTCCAGATAACTAAAACTCTATAACTCTCAAGTAATGTGCTACTGGAAATCAAAATGTTTATATGTGGGTTTTAAAGAAGTTTAGGTGAAAAAGGTATTGTTTTGTCTGAAATTCCTGTATAAAAGGATCATTTGCAAATATTAAAAAAACAATTTAACGAATATTCTTAAATCATTTATTCATATTATGACGATCAGTGCTATAACATCTGAGACATAGATAATCATTTAAGAACTGTAAATTCAGAAATTATTGCGTGCATTTATTATTGCGATTTTTAAAAAATGGACAAGAATGCGAGTTAAATTATTGCGATTTCAGCAAAATCTACATACAGATCTATGTTCTAGTTATCAAAATGCGAGTTCTTATTATTGCGATACTCATCTAGTCGCATTATTCGCATTAATAAAAACCTCGCAATAATTTCTGAATTTACAGTAACATGATCTGTATAATTTTTCATTGTCATCTGACACAAAGTGCTATCATTTACATATCACATGATTTGTACATTTACCATGTGACCTGTTGTCATTTCAGATAGCTAAAATGGAGGATCTCCAGATTCTGCAATATGAAAAATCAATACTCTGTGAAAGTATGATTTGTGATAACTAGATCTTGGGCAATATGTTATGGTTGTATTGTGATCTGCAATGGTTGTTCTCACAAGATTATGATGTTGTTTTGATATCTTTTGTATGGTTGTGTTGTACAATGTCTGACCATAAACAAAGGCTTGTTTGTACTTGGTTGTTGACATACCAGTGAATCTGAATTGTATATCTTTTTTATATTTGTATTATTACAATATTTTAAGAATTGTATCTAAGGTGTAGTCTTTTTAGATATATAATCTTTTTACATTTTTGGAGCTATGACCCAGATTGTTTTGAGAACAAGTTTATAGCCAAAAGTAATTCCGTCTTTCCTTGAGCACACTGATTTTGTTGAAAAGCTGCAGCATCAACAGTCTTAATTAGACAGAAAGTCTGTGAAACCTGAGAGTTCTTATTGATTTAAATATTTCTTAATATGCAAGAAAGTATTTTGAATTGTTCCAAAAATTAAAATTGTTATCTCCCTATGCATTTTCAATTCAAGGACTACAAAAGGTTCTGTTCTCATTTTTAATTTTTTTTCAAACCTTAATTCATATTTCAGTAGACTGCCTTTAAAAGTGTCTTTGTAATAAACATAGTATGTCTGTATCTCAGTTTCATATTATTCTTACTTACAGATTTCACTGTCAGTTCAGAGCTTTGGTGATCACATGTTGTATTATTCTGTTGTAAGGCTTTCAGAATATGTATGGTTTATTGTAAAACTTTAGAATGAATGGTGAATCTTATGGTAGAGTATTGAAAGTAGTTAGATTGTGTTCTTGAACTTTTTAATAACTTTTAAGACATAAATAACTTTGATTTAAAATAAAATTTGATAACACATCATTAAAGCAAGATTTTTTTATAATTTTTATTCATTTCTTTAATTTTTCTGAAATCACTCATACTTTTTTGTCACCCTGATTTCATTCTTTTGAAATTTTGACGTTAATTTTGCTTTAGATTTCAAATTCGAGTCTTAAAACTTTTAACAAAACGATAATTGTTTTCTGATGTCATTTATTATAGATAAGTTAAGTAGTCATATATTATGAAAGGCTGCAGCTTTGGTTATTTCTCTAAACAACTTATTACATTGAAGATTTAAGAAAGTTCTAAAACACAATTGTTTACATTTTTGTTATAATTTGATTGGTCAGAGTACTGCCATGTTTGTTTATGTTAATGATGCATTATGGGAAGCATTTTATTTGCTTTTCAAAAGATTACCATGCAATCTTGTTACTGTCAATAAAACGTTTATGCTCATTTGTGCTTCAATTTTAAACTACCACCCTTACCCTTTTGTCGAAGAATGTAATAAGCAAAACAAAGAGGTTACTTTTTCCATGCTGTGATCATCATTTTCAAAATAAAATAAAGAGTTGTGGTATGATTGCCATAAGACAACTTTCCATAGACCTAAAGGATGCAAATTTAAACAACTAAAGTTCACCATACAGCCTCCAAATATTAGCTTGAGGTCTTCTGGCCATATGCGAAACAATATTTAATTGAACCATCTCAATAGCATGTACAGGGATCACCACAGCCTAATCAATGGTGGAGGTCCTCCACCCCTGATTTTCCTCAGCACCATCCTTAATTTTTCTCCTCCACCATTGATTTTGTCAGCACCATTCTAAATTTTTCTCCTCCACCCTTGATTTTCTCAGCACCATCCTTAATTTTTCTCCTCCACCCTTGATTTTCCCAGCACCATCCTTAATTTTTCTCCTCCACTCTTAATTTTCTCAGCACAATCCATAATTTTTCTCCTCCACCCTTGAGTTTCTGTGCACCCTCGCTTAATTTTTTTATCCAGGTTTTTGTCGAGCCTTCGACTTTTGTCGAAAAAGCGAGACATAGCGATCCTACATTCCGTCGGCGTCGTCGTCGTTGTCGTCGTTGTCGTCGGCGGCGTCCACAAATATTCACTCTGTGGTTAAAGTTTTTGAAATTTTAATAACTTTCTTAAACTATCCTGGATTTCTACCAAACTTGGACAGAAGCTTGTTTATGATCATAAGATAATATTCAAAAGTAAATTTTGTAAAAAAAAAATTCCATTTTTTCCGTATTTTACTTATAAATGGACTTAGTTTTTCTGCCAGGAATCATTACATTCACTCTGTTGTTAAAGTTTTTAAAATTTTAATAACTTTCTTAAACTATCCTGGATTTGTACCAAACTTGGAAAGAAGCTTGTTTATGATCATAAGATAGTATCCAGAAGTAAATTTTGTAAAAAAAAAATTCCATTTTTTCCGTATTTTACTTATAAATGGACTTAGTTTTTCTGCCAGTTAACATTACATTCACTCTGTGGTTAAAGTTTTTAAAATTTTAACAACTTTCTTAAACTATCCTGGATTTGTACCAAACTTGGACAGAAGCTTGTTTATGATTAAAAGCTAGTATCCAGAAGTAAATTTTGTAAAAAAAAAATTCCATTTTTTCCATATTTTACTTATAAATGGACTTAGTTTTTCTGCCAGTTAACATTACATTCACTCTGTGGTTAAAGTTTTTAAAATTTTAACAACTTTCTTAAACTATCCTGGATTTGTACCAAACTTAGACAGAAGCTTGTTTATGATCAAAAGCTAGTATCTAGAAGGAAATTTTGTTCCATTTTTTCCGTATTTTACTTATAAATGGACTTAGTTTTTCTTCCAGTTAACATTACATACAGTCTGCAGTTTAAGTTTTTAAAACATTTATTAGATTCATAAACTATCCTGGATTTTTACCAAACTTGGACAGAAGCTACTTACAATCAAAAGATAGTATAGAGAGGAATATTTTTATTAATTTTTTTCCTCATTTTTGCTGAGCCTGTGATTAACAGCAAAAAGTAGGCGAGACACTGGGTTCCGCGGAACCCTTACGAATTTTTTCGAATGAAAAATCTGGTTACTAATATAGTGAAGTACGGAGGGCGCTCAGGAAGCTGCCAACAGTTTCTGTGCATTAACTTATGAGCCCTGCAACTAATTCTTTTCAAATTTTAATATGTTGTTACTGATGAAGAAATGGAGGTCAATACATTTATTGATTTTTTTTATTTTTGCCATTGAGTAGTTATGGTTCTAGATAGATTGGAAAATGGCATCTTATGTAGTTTCTGTGCAATTACATAAGAACAGTATAGCCAATGCTTTTCAAATTTTGCTATTTTGTTACTGATGACAAAAGGGAATTACCTACCCCTTCTTAATTTCAACAATGGTTGCCTTCAAAATACAGAACACTTAGCTTCCTGTCAATTGCAGCTCATTTCTTGTAAAGTTTTATCTTTTAAAACTTTTTTCACCATATGATGACCAATAATAAGCTTATAAACATGTCTACAAGCATAGCAAAAACTACACAATTCGAATCAAAACTGTATCAATTCGATTACAGTGTTTACTCTTACATGCCGTGGTGATACATAATGTAGTATATAAGACCTGTACCCATTTGCATGCACCAGTGATTTCAAATTTAAATATTAAGTTTAGATGAAGTAAAAAAACTTATTTCCGATATCAAAATTATCTAATTCAATGAGTAATGTCTTACATCACCTAAGGATTTTAAGGTATACAGATATTGATTGATTGATTGTGTTTAACGTCTAGCGGCAAATATTTAATGCACGTTCAGGACGACAGTACACAAAAATGGATGGTACACCACACATTGGTAGTAAACACTCATTTTGGGTGCCAAAATTAATAATTTAATACAGATAGACACGAAATAGGGGAAAATTCACATGGCAAGGATTAAGAACATATATGACCACTTTATTTGGATAACTTGAATATCATGGGTCACTAGTCAAATTTTAATGTACTTATTTCCCAGCCGCGGTGGAGGGGGCATTAAGTTTACCTTTGTCAATCTGCACATCTGTCCGTCCATATACCCCAAAGTTAGTTTCCGTTCTCTAACTTTACTTTCTCTCAACCAAATGTTATGAAATTTATACACACTACTTATTACCACCAAACACAGATCAAGTTTAAATATGGGTAGCGTCACTTTTGCCGTTCTCGAGTTAAGTCCTTTTATAAATGGGAAAATTGGCAAATTTGCAGTTTCCGCACTCTGACTTAACCTTGCCACAACCAAATTTATACACAATGCTAACATCTACCAAACACAGATCAAGTTCGAATATGGTAACGTTACTTTTACCATTCTCAAGTTTATAAATACCTGTCATTTATCATTGACACAGAGGTATGCACTAAACGTCGAATGTCCTTTAATTTAGACAAAATACATCTCTACACAAACAAGATATTACAACTTCGTTGTCAATTACATGGATACAAAGAATTAAGGCATAAACAAATGTCGACAAAATATATCTTACAGTAATATTCAAAGAAAAAATAAATGTAGTTCATTTTTACAAACGAAATCCGTATACAAATTTACAAGATATTTTTTGTTTCCTGTTGTTAATTTTCCTTTTTCGATTGTGATTTGTCGTTCGCCCCTTCTTACCTTGAGTATATTAACCAACTCGTTCGCTTTGCCCGTGTCTGAAGTGACGTTTTTGATTTTGAATGAACGTAGTCTAGGTTTAACTGGTAATTCATAAAGTTAATGAATTCGTTACACAAAATTACTTAAAACATTTACTTAATTCTTTCATAGATACAAACATTTGGTTTAGAAGTTTGTTTGTACCTGTAGAAACGGGATATTACATCCTTATTTACGGAGATGAGTGTGAATTCGCATTGCTATACGACGTGTCTCGTATTTATAATCCAACATTCATGTATTTAGTTATGATGTTTCTTTTGTAAGTACGGCTTATATTGTGTTATGTCTTATCGTTTGTGGTTTGAATTCTGTATTCTCGGTACATTTCACATACGTCTTATTTGTCAGTATAGTCGAGTTAATTTCCATTTTCCATGGATAAAATATTGTGTTAGTCCAAATAATTATGACGTCGTCACAGCATTAATTTAAAATAGCCTTTCAAGACCGTCATAATCATGATAATAACTTGGACTAGTATTGTTAAAATAACTGTGAATTTTTGGATTTCGTTCCATATAATTGTATGAATTTCAAGATTAATATATACGTCACAAAAATACGTCACTTTTTGTGGCGTTGATCCATTCTTGTGACGCGCAGTTTGTGGTGTCCTATGCAGCGTTAATTTATGGGAGATGTCCGTTGTTATTCTGTATTTTACATGTGGTTTTAATGTACTATTATATTATATATTTATGTATTTTTCTGTGCTGAGTGTTCTTGTGTTTGTTTGTACTGTATTCTTGTCACGTAGTGTTGTCATTTTAGCGGTATTTTTTAACATTGCCATATAAGCGGGAGGTTTGGCTAGCCATAAAACCAGGTTCAACCCACCATTTTTTGCTTAAAATGTCCTGTACCAAGTCAGGAATATGGCAGTTGTTATCAAATAGTCCGTTTCTATGTATGTTGGCGTTTATTTTTGTTGCAGTTGAGTGTTTCTGTTGTTCCGTTGTTTCCCTCTTATAGTTGATGTGTTTCTCTCGGTTTTAGTTTGTAACCCGGATTTGTTTTCTCTTAATCGATTTATGACTTTTGAACAGCGGTGTACTACTGTTGCCTTTATTTATATAGCCTTTAAATGTAGATACGATACACCATTTGAATACACCCACAGGTTGGCAAATTGAAACAGTATTGTAAGACCTTTAAATTTAGTCTTTATCGGTACATACATATTGATTTTGTTATTAATAAATTAAAACAATACTAAAGTCTATTGCTATAGTCAATCTTTTCTCATACTGTTTAATGACGTCTGTAAGTTTAGTATGTTGGACATGTGCTGAGTAATATTCTAGTATGGGAAATCTTGGTTTATTTATTAATCGTAATTGGTTTAAAACTAGCTTTCAGTAACTGCGAGTACTCTTAATTTTAGTTTTTTTTTCCTGCTTTTAGTTTTTATTTGTCGTGCAGATATAAGAGAAAAGCCTTTAAAACTATTTTCAATCGTTTTGTCCATAAGTTGAACTGATACACCTCTGTCCTAGTTCAGGGGGCGTTGAACTCTCATAAACATATTTAACCCCGCCACTCTATGCTTATATCCAACGTCAGGACCCTGTAATTCAAAGTTTGATATTTGTCACTGTCTGTCATACTTATTTTTCGTTGATTCATTTATTATAAGTCAGATTTAGGGTTTTCTTGTCTGAATTGTTTTATTTTGTCACGTGGAATCCTTTTAATGCTTATTGTACGGTATGTGTTTTGCG